CTGTGACTATGGCGTTTGGGATATGCAGATAAAGTGGCATACGCGATATCAGGAGATTTCGGTATTTGAATCCTGAATTGGATGCTATACGATTATAGTCATTGACTGGTCACATCTCAATTCGAGGCTCTCGCCAAATGTCAAGTATTCCTAGGTATTATAATGATCTTAGTCGACCCTTAAAGGTTTTCAACATACCCATCAGGCAAATCGGAAGCTAAGCTCAAATAAGAACACTAACCTCAAAATCATCATTTCACGTATCCGATACCCAATGACTGTGATTGACGATGCATTAGAACGAAACTTAGTTCTAGCTCGACACGATAAGCGATCCTTTAGCTCCTGATATCAGAACCCTTTCAACTTAGCTCCATCGTTGTCTCAAACTAGTTCGAACATTCATTTGCACCAGTAAAACCATAATGAATTCCCCCAAGAATCTTGAAATCAAACGTTCCATCATCATCAAAACTATCAATTCGAAGAATATATTTCTCCACAATAGCAGACAACAATTCGACAAAGAGTATATCAACAAACAACAACCATGGCCGACCCGAACCGTCTCCACAAGATGTTCATCAGCGATGGCGACGACATGTGTAGAACCTGCAGCTATATGCTTCTTACTACCTACGGTTTATTCGGACTCATCACGCGCGGATTCGATCATGGATGGATTCATTACCCCCAAGAACCCATGTCATTAGCCGAAGACGTCAAATCTCCATGTAGCACTCCTTCGAATCCCAAAAGTCCATATGACCTCCAACTCATGGGCTGGGGATGTCACTTTTGCGCACTCGTTCTCAGTGACCCAAAAGCAAGCCAGAAAGGCTCACAAGTTACGCACCCCTCAGTTGCTCACAAATACGTCATTGAGAAACACCACGAGTTCCGACATGTCGGCTTTCGCGCAATCATTGTTAATGACGTGGGCGAGGAGGTTGAAAACCCATTTAGATATCGAAAGTTCTCGTTAACGGGCAAGAACTCAGATCTTCTACAGATGACAGAGGTGGTGGAATATTTTCACAAGCATCATCTTCACGTGGGAGGTATCGCGGTTGAGAGGGGGAGTGAGGTGTCTTACACGGTCGAATGGCATATTCAGATGGGTTCTCTGTATCCGGGCGTGAGCGCGGAGTATCCTTGGTATAGATTCACTGGTGTTTTTGATTTGTCCAGAACGGGAGGGTTAAAACGAAAGGGGATAGGAGGAGTGTTAAATCCCAGAAAAAAACTTCCTCCGAGTAATCTCCGTATTTGCGACGAAAATCCTCCTGCGGACGTTGAGATATGCAATATCAAAATTCTAAGCACAAAACTACAAAGTCTTATGCTACAAGAGGAATGAATGGCATGAGTTTCTTGGTCGGCGTTGGGAGTTTCTGGCAGCATGGATACCCGCTTACTTGGTAGCCAAAATATTGGATTTTCTGAAATAAATTAGCGATCTGAGAAGGAGGGAAAGATTCGCCTGGTATACTCGTTCCCTGTAACAAAATTATCGAGATGCAGTTGCAACCTTCAATAATACACACATAATCAAATAAATCGGAACAATCACGAGAACAATAGAAAAGAAGCTGGGTAACTCTTGAATGGATACATTTTCGATCGCTTCATTAATCTCAATCTACTTCGATTGTTCCAAAAGTGCTCGCCCATAATCACCTCGGTTAGGCAACCTGTTGCATGTATGAATGTGACATCTTGCTGGACTTGTATTCGTCAAGAAAACTAAAACGAGGTTAGATATGTCAAACAGGAGAAATGGTGAGACTTACTTCCACAATGGAAATCCAATTCCATAAATGCTACCGGGCTATGGATGCGGTAGTAATAAGGATCATCGTCTGCAAATTCTCCGATCCAAGCGAAATACGTTTCGTCGAGATGTTTCTTAAAAAGTGCGACCCTATGCTCCAAAACTGAGTCGGGATAATATTCATTAAATGATTTGAAAAGCTTGATGATTTGCTCTTGTTGGTTTGCTGGAAATTCGGAAACCGGACATCCTTCATATGGGACGATCCTATTATCTTGTCTCGCACCACCCAGATGTCGTTCGTCAAAAGGATTCCACCTATCAGCTGGCAAACTCTTTCCATCCATACCCTTACTCAGAGTTGCCTTCTCTTGTAATTCTTTAGGCAAGCTTTGCATCAAGCTTAAACTATCCATTTCCTCTGATCTGAATAACCTCAGGCCAGCATGTGGTCCCTCGTCAATTCTATCAGGTTCTGCTCCCATAAATGTAGGACCAATTACCATTCTCTTTCCGAGAAAAACTACACAAAAACACAAGTGATGTCCAAAAAATGTGTATCCAAATGGTTCGGTCATGGATGGTGTACCAAACAAGCGGAAGTTGTAGGAGTGTTCATTGAGCACTTTCTTGCCGTTCACTAGATGTCCAAGGAAATCATTTGTGAGACAACAAGCGTGGATTTTTTCATAGCCCTGCTTAGAGGATGAAGCTCTAAGAATGGCGTGGATAGCGGTCTGAACCTCTGAGGAACACTCATCGAGTCGTAGTCCACCTATTTCAAAGATAAGCATGAGATTAAAACAGAGGCATCTTCACTCCTTACCTGGGTTCATGTATAATTCTGGATTCGACCACAGTCGAAATTCATCATCTGTAACATCTCCAAATTGAACCGCTTTTCTTTGATCTTCACTCAAGACCTTCAAAAACTCTTCTGTTTTCGTAATCACCTCCTCCGTTGGCGCACCTTCATCCTCTGCATAATTATACAGCCCCTCTCTGACTTTTCCGTCTGATGTGAATCCTTTGTATGGCTTCTCTAGATTCTTTGCATCAAGACGGTTAATCAGCCAAGCCGGAGCCTCCATTTGCCTTCTAGACTCGCACCAACTTAATGCTGTATGATCTTGTATCCCAGCAATGCGAGGATGGTCTGGGGAAGGTATGATATCGCGGAAAGGAACAGCTGCATCAGAGCGAGGCTTTGTAGGGTCTGAACTCTGGATGTATCCTGAATTCTCTGGTAAAACTGCCATATCTGCTACTGATTAGAGGAACTTGGAGTTATGGTATAAGTTTGGGTCTTAATGTGTAGAAAGCTAGTATCACAATGGGTTGTATGAAAGTCTGAAGGAGGAATTGGTCTGGATATGCATGTTCTTTAATTGATCGATCTATCACTACTGGCAGAGCCGAAGCATGACCTGACAATGATGATCTGCCCATGGCTTCAGTCGATGTGGAGAGCTTGCGGAATAGTTATTAAGAGCGTATGAGTACGAATTGAATTATTCTGAAGCTTCGGGGTATTCAATGCTTACTAATCCCCACAAATTAGCGTGTTGAATCCATGAATTCCCCTCAATCTCCCCACCCCTTCCACTTCATAACTTGTGGGGACTCTTGTCTGTCCTTACGCGTCCACGCTGATTGCTACGGATATCGACCGACCGAAATCACCATGTACGAGGAATGGTGACAAGTATGGATAATCCTGTATCGGGTCAATTGTTGCCATGATGAAGGCAGTTGAATCGGCTTCCATCAAAGTGGGGTGACGAAGAGTAGGTGGGGGGTTTGAAGCTCATGTTTGTCTAAATCAAAAACCGTCCTCTTCAGTCTCTCTCTTTCCTTCAGTCCCAAAGACTTTACTTGCTCAATCTCTGTTCCTCATTTTCATTCCCATTGTAAATGCTACGATAATACCAGTATCTCATCCAGACATCAGCCATGCCAGCACCATCATTTGAGCGTACGTGGTTCCATAGTCCTATCAAAATACTCGTTGCGACAAGTTAATTGACATGCCGTTCTAGGTCTCGTACGATTTGTACCCAAATCTTCTGAGGAGGTACTCATTGGCCAACCAGTAGATTCGGAGATCGATGTCGGAGCTGCAATCATTGCAGGAAAGGACGTGAAGGTTGATGTATTCAGCGGATCATCAGTCTTAGAACCAGGCACTTCAACTGGAACCATTAAAGAAGTTGGAAAACTTCTATCTCCACTTGCAGAGTCTGAAGTTGGCACAATCAGATGTATTGGGTTGAATGTAAGAAACAATTCTCTGAAATACATATACATAAGGAATTGACTAAAAATTGCAGTATGTCCAACATGCGCACGAAGTTAAGATGGCCATCCCCGATCTGCCAACCGTTTTCATGAAGCCTTCGACCTCTCTCGCAGATCCATATCCATCCCCTACAGTCATTCCAAAGTTTGCGTTGAAAGATGATTGCTGCGATTACGAATCCGAGTTGGTGATTGTGATTGGAGAGAAGTGCAAGGACGTGAGCGAGGCAGACGCCTTGAATTATGTTTTGGGATATACAGCAGCAAATGATGTCAGCAGTCGTGCAAGTCAATTTGCGCAAAGCCAATGGTGCTTCAGCAAAAGTTTTGACGGTGCTTGCCCAATAGGTATGCCATGTCAATTCATTTCGGGGAATTGGAGTTAACAACATTCTAGGTCCAGTTTTGGTATCCACGAAACTCATCCCAGACCCATCGAAACTTCGAGTCAGAGGTCTAAAGAACGGAAAGGTTATGCAAGACTGCGGAACAGAGTATGAATATCCGATCCCAATTTCCAGCCGTAAACTGACCAATAACAGTGATTTGATTTTCCCTGTTGCGAAAATTGTTTCTTTCCTCTCGCAAGGTACTACAATCTTGCCAGGTACTATAATTTTAACCGGTACTCCAGCGGGTGTTGGTAATAGTTTTACACCAAAGGAATATCTGAGGGAAGGAGATTCATTCTCGGTTGAAATTTTACCATACATTGGAACTATGATGACCAAATTTGAATATCAAAAGTAAATTTTGGATTTAATGAGGCTACGCGATATTCCAATCAATATATGGTAGCATTTATCAAAAACATCACAAACATACATTTTGCAATTTGAGTGAACTTGATTTATTCACTCATGTGCTTCCATCGTCCGAAAACCTTCCTAGTCTCGTTCCAACGACAGATTACCCCATGTGAGTCTTCCTAACCACTGTATGAAGCTGCGAGTAGCAAGATATCCAGTCGTGTCCTTGCAGCTAGCCTTCTTCCACATCTCCTCCTTCTACTTCTCCGTCTCACTCCTACATTTATTATTGGCGACCTTCTTCGTATTGGATGTCTTCGGAGAGGTCGAGCCGCCACCGTTCTAGCGGGTCTTCTACGTGCTTGTCTTCCGACTCGAACGATAAGGTCTAATCGAGGAGGCATTTTCGCTTGCTATGTGTAATTGACACAGAGTTTGTGTGGAGTGCAATAGTTCGAATTGCTAGATGTGGTAAAGATCCTGCCCCGCCTTGTCATATTATCATAGGGGATCTATCCACTGGGCTGTGAAAAATTAAGCCACGACATTATTGTCACTAGGTTGCGATCAAAGAAAGCTCCCTTTCAAAGCTCAGGGGGGGGCTTCTGCATTCTTTCTTCCTAAGTTTGAGGCTGTAGAAGTCTCTAGTATTAGAATCTTAGTTCCAGGAACGATATGCCGAAAATGATATGATTGGGCATGTTGCATTTGCGGTAGAATACTCCACAATCGACTGCCAATTTTGCAGGGCTGATGCACAGCCACGAAGCGTGTTATGTGAAAGGGCGTGCCCAATATATCACGAATGACATCTTACAATTCATATCCTAGCGTACCGACGTTGTAGAATAGCGTAACGGGTCAAAAATGCACGATTACGAATATCTTCAATAATGGTCTGCTGCTATGAAATTTGTACTTGCCGAGTACCGCTATTTCTAGGCAGACAAATTTGTACTTGCGGCTGAGAAATTCAAATTTTGTATAAAATCTCCTAGATAGACGGCTTCATTGTTTGAATTGTCCACATTGATTAACATCAACAAAAAGCAATATGACTTTAATCACAATGAAAATCTGCTGGCTATTTCTCAATCTTTCCCATGCCGTCTATGGCATTATTCAAGCACCTCCACTACCTGGGTCTCATACCCTTGGCACCACCACTCTCCAAGTGACCGACTCGTCTACTTCCCGCAGTCTAATGCTCTCCTTGTTCTATCCTACATCCGCCAAAAATTCATCTTATACATTTGCGCCCTCCTTCCCATCAGCCACGGCTCTTTATTTAGCAGAAAGCTACTCTCTCCCTTCCGATGTTCTCGAAGAGCTTGCCTCCCGTTCCTACAATTCCGCCCCTATTCTTCTTTCCCACAATAAATCATTTGATTTCCCAATCCTCCTCTTCTCTCCGGGCTATGGGAATTCGCGACTTGCTTATACCGTCATTGCCGAGAATATCGCTTCTCTGGGCTATTTTGTCATTACTATTGATCACCCGTACGATGTTGAATTCATCGAATACTCAAACGGTACAATTGCAACATGGGTAGACGAGGATTTCGATAATGCTACCGCTGCAATTCCTTATGTGAATGCTCGAGTTAAAGATATGCAATTTGTGTTGAACTCCTTCTCGGATCCACTATTCACTGCTCAAATTCCTGGCATCCAGAATTCCTCATCCCATTCATATGGATATAGAAGATCTCAATCAACATTCCAAACTAAAACCATCGGAGTCTTTGGTCACTCATTGGGTGGAGCTGCTGCTTTCCAAGCTATGCATGATGACTCCCGATTCTCATACGGAGTGAATCTCGACGGTGCAATCGAAGGCGATGTCGTCCAAAGCGGGCTCAAGAAACCATTCATGATTATGGCGAATCAGAATCATACCAGAACGGAAGAGAGAGATCCAACGTGGTATGAATTCTGGGCTAACTCGGTGAAGCTTGGAGGTTGGAAAAGAGATGTGAGGGTTAATGCGACGCAGCATGGCAGTTATACGGATTTGGCGGTTTGGGCGACGGTACTGGGATTAGAAGGATTTGAGGATTTGTTGGGTACGATTAATGGAGTGAGGATTTTGGATATACAGACGGAGTTTGTGGGTGGGTTCTTCGGAAAGTGGTTGAAGGGGAAGAGAGGGAAGGTGTTGGATGGGCCTAGTAAGGAGTGGCCTGAGGTGACTTTTGATTTTTGATTTTGGGAAGGATAGATTGGAAGTTTAGAGGTAGATTTTGATAGAAAGAGGTGGTTGTAGTCCGTAGAGTTATGTTTACTGTGTAATATATCTAATAGTATTTATTTAGTGCAGTTTCCGAAACTTTTGATATTATTGAGATATGAGCTCAACCGTAGTTGTATGGACTAACAACAGTACACTTCTCAACTTTCAAAATTTTAATAAAAATACAATTTTTTATTGTTCAATCTTAAAATGAATGATTGTAACGGTTCTCAAGATATCAAAATCGAGAAAAATATTACGTCAATTTTTACATGTCCTGTTAGTCCGTACACACACTAGTGGCCTTATACTTCTGCCTATTCACAACAATTAACAATCTATGATCTAAAAATCCTTCATTTTGAACTGCAGTTTAGCAATAAAATCAAAAGTAGAGTTTGCAGCGAAAAAAAAAAATGTGAGTGTGAAGCCTGGGCTTTGTATCGGAAAGATGGCATGGACTTCTCATCCTAATAAAAACTAGCGAAACTCCCTTGCATTCACTTTCGATATTCACTTCGCCAATCCCATCGACCAATCAGATTCTATTACCATCCCGTGGATTCTTTTGTTGCATATCTGCTATAGCGTGTTGAGCCTGTAAAGGCCTATAATTTGGAAGCTTTGCTATATAGCATAGTTAGCATAGATAGTCAAATAGTGTGTCCATTACAAGAGTTCATGCATGTACATCAAGAGCCTACCCTCGAAGTCTTCATGATAGAGGATTACATGTGCCTCAAAATAGCACCTACTTGTAGATAGCTATTTATATACTATAGCCTTTCTAAACACTATACATCTGATAGAAAATCCTGTAACCCTATTGATGTCAATAGAAAAGTTGAAAGAGCTCATATTAAAATACCGGAACTCAAATTTGGTGAGCTTCTGCGCAATCATAATCAACATCACGCTCACGTCCAAAACATCGTTTTAAAGATCCGAAAATTTTCATTATCTTATAGCTAGGTATGTATAGTAGTTTGATGTTGATAGTATAAGATAGCCTTAAATCCAGTCAAAATTCTTGCTTATAACATGGAGCTAACCCTCTTTGACAGCCTTTCGTTCTTTACAAGTCCATTTCGACTTGAATGATAATGAATTATTTTTTCAGGGAGATCTTAACCTGTGTGATACTATTTCGACCATGAAAATAATCACCTCCCCGAGTATTGAAAATTTTCCTTTGCTAAATTCCATACACCCTTTCCCATTAAGCCCCATATTTCTTCCATTCAGAATCTGCATCTTCAAATTTCTGGAAAACCTTGTCCTCTCACTAGATTAATAATGGTGACAAGCTATAATTTCTCGGAACGGGTCCATATTTGCCCATCGCATCGACCTCGATGTTACATTGATCCATAATGTATTTCTTTCTGAACTCTTTCCTGATCGAATCTCGGATCTCTATCCACGCCACTTCCTGTGCAGTCTGGGGTTTATAACGGAAAAAAATGTCATTCTGCGGGTTGACAGCATGATTGCATTTTTCATCTAGAGCTTGGATTTGCATCATGCGGCCCGCATCCCGCTGGAAGTCTTCTTCCCAAATCTCCTTTCGAATGACATTCTCATGCTCTCTTTTCAAACGTGGCTCCCTCACGAGTCTCTGTCTTTCTGCTTTCTCAAGCTTTTCAACTTCCGATCGGTACATCGATAACCCGTGACAAGTGAGAATAAGAAATATCCAAGGGAGGACTGTCATAATAATCAAAGCGACGAGAGGTGTGGTGGGGAATGCGCATCCACCGTTGGTAATTTTGCAGCAGGAGGTGGACCTTGTATCGATTGCGTTGAGATTTGAGGTAATGGTTGTAGGTATAGGAGAGGCTGAAGTTATGAACGAAGATGTCATAGGGCTAAAAGTCGCCGAGTTGGTGGAGAGTGTGAGAGCCATATTTACACAAATTGTATTGCAATGAGTGATCTTTTGGTTCTACTAATTGGAGTAATATATGTATTCAACGTGCCAAAAGAATGAAGTGACGAGCATAATATAATAACAAAGTGTAGGGGGACCAATCCAAAAGAACACGTCGCTGGTAGTATGATCATTTGATATGACGTATCGATTGATATTGTACTAGTGAAAACTAATTATTAACACAATTCCTAGTTACATGATGGTGATAAGCTAATCCTCATTAGGTCAAGATGTCAGGAGTCTAGTTGTTCACTTAATGCTTGATATGCTTTACAGAACTCTATTATGATATTATTCATTAATTCCCAACCTAAATATCATCATCCATGTAGTGTCACTTATGTTACCTGTCTCGTCTGGAATTTCCTGTTCCGACCAAAATATATGTATTATCTTGAGTATCCAGTTAAGAAGCCGTCGCTCAATGATAACAAAGGTAGATACTAACCTAAATAAGCATACAATTCATGATTAGAATGACACCAGAGCCCTAAAGGGTATGGCTGGTCTAATGCTAACCAGGTCCATTATAATAACTTCCATTTTTCTGTAATCTTAGTGACTAACTAGATCATTTGTATTCTTGAACTTTGATCGAGCATCCATATTTGTTATAGTATGAAATCTAATTGATATTATTTTTAACTCAAAACTTATCAGGGAAGTACGTGTACTGGGGATATGACCTAAGTTTGGGGCTACGAAGGAGGGTATAGATACGTGTTCTCTTCGTAGCTTTAGCTCTCCTCTCTTTACGTTTTATAACATCAATTGAGACCATTCGATCACTAAAGTTCGACAGTTTGAATCTGTGACAGTCTGAAGTGCAACAATACATAACGTTTTTCCGTTGACCTATGAACGAATTAATTAGTGTAGACTCTGGAACTTGCTCACGACTTCATTTGTAGCTCTTGCACGTTTGTTTATCATATACCGTACCGCTTCATGACCATGTATATAAATCTGATGTTAACTACCAGTGATTGGAATCCCTTTGGTCAAATAAACGACCAATACCTCCTAACTAGTACTCTCCGACATTGCTCTGTCCCTTTGCTGTATCCTTAGACGAGGCATATCTCTCCCCCAATAGGCTTCCTAGTCTACGCTTCATCCGGTACACAAGCTCTACCATAATAAGCAAAGCTCGGTTGCTCATGACTTGCAGTATATTCCATCTCTTCAGGCTCAACTTCCGCAATACATTCATTGTTTTCGTATGAATCAGCCGTCAATGTACGGGTATAAGTAGGGGAAGACCCATGCACTGCCATTTTCCAATCTTGTGAAGGCTGACTTAAATCCGGATAACTTGTTGTTTGACCACAGCCAGATGATACAATTTGAACTTGTATCTCGAGACGCACGTCGATTAAGCCGCGAGGATGACGGCTCCAGTGAGCGACGTCTTCTTGGTGACTTATGCTCAGGAGACTGTTGATCATCTCCGGACTTCCGACCTCTACTTCCAGCAAAGGGATTACGAAAAAAGCCAAATGAATTTTTCGAAGCGCTATTTGATATCTTCTGATGCTTGGAGTTTCGTTGTTCTTTCATCGAACTGTCTACGCGCGAAGAGGATTTCACGGTGGAAGATGTCGTTGATCGTTTTGCTTGTGGCCCGAAGTTTTTCTTACAGACAGCCATAATGGGTTCTATCAACACCAACTCATCTTCATTTTCCATATTGTACACCATCACGCCAGGGTAAATGCACTGGAAAACATCTTCGGTGCCGTTACTAGTTATCGTTTTCCACATTGAAATTCCCTTTTTAAAAGATTTAAAATATTAGATTGTTAATAATATAGTTTTATAAAAGCTATTTGATATGAATATAAAACTAAATGATACTAAGAATAGATTATATTAAAGAATTAGAAAATGAATTTCAGATTCAAAAACGTTTTGGGTTGAAAAATCCGTATGAAGTGCTATAGGGTATACATTTGAATCGATGTAGCATATAGGACATCGCCATCAAGTAAAAGTTCGAAAGGTCTAGCGAATATAATGATATTGATCAAATTCTCGAGCTTGTATAGAAAAACAAGCACGAGAGAGAAATTATCGTCATCTCAAGGCAAACTTATAGAGTCGAAAAGCGATACAGTGGCTAGCGGGATGTTGCTTAAAAGTAGTAAGATTTGTATGTTGCCCAGCCGCTCGGGTTGTGAATTTGTACTCCCCCGGATTCAATTCAGAAATATGATAGGCCCCAAGGGTTTCGGTTATCCGAGGGGCGTTACCATAATCCTGGGAAGATTACCCTGGTGTTACCCTTCATGCAGGACTTTGTCATCTGGCTGACTGAATTGTGTTTGTTTACATTCTGAATAGCTTCTCCAGCCTTATAAAATGCCGTCTGATGCTGATATAATTATCCATTGTTGGCTCTGATAATCGACATTCTCGAATTATCTCGGTCTTGTATACTCATACGAAAATTATATAAAACTATCAATAATCGAAACCTCAAATTGTTCGCAGTATCGTCAAAGCTTGCGGATTGATGATCAGGATTTCTACCAATGTCAAGAACAGTACCCAACCACTTGGTGTTGAAGTACTTCTTCAATTGTATGAACAAAAATGCATTCCACTTGGAATTTCCATTTCCTTCTATGTTATCTAACATTTTCTCTCAGTCACTTCGTGCTAGTCGCAAATCGATTCCTCTCTCAATTTCTCGCAAACAACAGCTCCTCGCATCACCCTGGCGTACTCGACTTACAAACTCCTGCCGAATCTCGTACCACTCCTCACAAATCACAAAATGAAACAAAACGATGCAATAGCTCTCATCGTGATTCTCCTCGTATTCGCATTAATACTCGTTGCATTTTTTATATTTCGACTTTCGAGGAGGTCTGTTTATTATAGTGATTACTCTTCGAGTTCGATATCGGAATCAAATTCGACGAGTTCGCCACGGCCTCCTCTGCCGCCGCTGGGAATAGGGAGACCGGTTATTGGTGGAGCAGGAAGAGGTAGACCTGTTGTGGCAGTGGGGGGAGCGGGAAGACCTGTAGCTGGGGCTGCTGGACCTCCGCCAGGGGTTGGGCCAGGAAGACCAGTGGTGGGAGGGGCAATGGGAGGGTGGTTTGGTGGGGGAAGACCAATTGTGGGGGCTGCTGGGGCGGGGAGACCGGTTGCTGGAGCTGGAGGAGGTGGAAGACCTGTTGTTGGAGATGATTGAGAGGTTTCTTTTGGTATGTTCTTCGATATAACACTATGTATATGTATATATAGTTTTGCTTGGGATTTGGAATGGAATTGGAATTTTGTTACCAGAAGTGAACTTGGCGATTAATTATTGTGTAGAGAAGCAGTCAGCTCCCAGAACGAAGAACTTATCGCTATGAATAGCAAACATTCTATACTCGTAGATTTGGTGTAACATATGCTCGGCATTTAGGAAATACTCGTAAATAGTGAAATAACAAGGACAGTGTAGTCTGTCAAAATGTGTGATATCAAATGCTATTTTGCAGGTTAACTTCTGTAACCATCATTTTGATATGTTGATAGCTTTTCAAAGTCTTATTTATCATAAATCAGATTTAGATAGAACATCTAAATGAAATCAGACGCTTCGAGCTTACCTTGACTACCTAAACAGGTCCCAACTCAAAGACAGAACAGAATACATAGCTTGGGTGAACAATACTTCGCTTACATAATATCTTTACAAGCGCACCAATCAAAAAGCTATCCGAAGTTCAAATTTTTTTCACTTATCCCACTCTCACACAACATTGAATATGAACTAAAACAGCGGCCACCTTTCCATCAAACAGATCTAATCTGTTCAATGGTGAGATGGCCGAGTTGGTCTAAGGCGCCAGGTTAAGGTATTCAACTCTTAACATAAGATTGTCACAATCTCCTGGTCTAGTAATAGGCGTGGGTTCGAATCCCACTCTCATCAACATTCTTTTGCTTTTTGTTTACATTTTTGCTGGATTTCTGGGAGAGTGCCTTTCAAGGTCGAAATGAATCTTTGAGGGACTTTTTTCATATCTTTTGACTCTGAGCGAGGAGGACTAGACGAGCTAGAAGGAACCGAAGGTCTCGACCCCCCTATCATATCCACTTATTTTCACGTGGAAAAACGGATAAAACGTTCCCGAAACATGCCTGAGGAAAAATGAACGGATCATGAAACATGCTTGGGTGAGACATACTAGGTACTGATGATCAAGTAATACAGCGCGTAGTTTTAGCCTATTGCGATTTGACGTTTGACATTTGACATATATATCTTCGAATAGGTATAGACATGGATCTGGGCACTGCTTTTCTTTATTTTGAGATGAATGGTGAATCGTAACTCACCGATTTTGCTGAAGGGGTTTGTCATTAATAATGTTGACGATCATCGAGACGATCACAACATGACGGCGAAGTTTTAACGTCATTACAATATATATAGAACAGAACCACATATTAGCATGAAACACGCAATAAATCAGGTACACGTTGCATGGTACATCAGACGGTTAAGCTTTCTCATCTTAAGTAAAATGATATCTATAAGAAACACTTTTCCGGCTTCTTCTTGTCAAAATTTCATTTTTCTAGTAAGACAAGCACACAACCATGTATTTTCCGATTTCCAAGTTGAATTTACTTGCTGTCGCGGCTCTTTTCACATCTTCTATTGCAGTTGATGTAGAGGTAAATATAAATCACCATTTCCATTCCAAAAATTATTAACAACCCCTCGCTAGGCCAGACAGACGCCTTCTCCGGATCCAGTTCCAACGCCCACTCCAGCCCCAACACCCACCGCAAAAACTACCTTGAATGCTTCACAATCCGCATCCCAATCAATGGAAATACAAGCCGCACTCGCATCCTATGCTTCATCTCTCTCTGTAGCCTCAGTATCAGCTGTCAAGGCTGGATCAACGGTACCTTCGTTACCGGGCTATACACTAGCTGCTTCGGCGGTTGGTCCCGGATCTTCAAATGCAGCGAAAGCCGCTACAGGGAACTCGGGCTCTGGGAGAGGTGCAGAGGTGGATATGGTGTGGGTCAATGTTGGAGTGGGATTGGTGGTTTGTGCGGTGGGGTTGTTGTGAGGGGAATATTTTGTGGAAGGTTGGAGATGAAAAGAGATCCTCCCTTTCAAACAGGGAGTGAAGCGTAGAAGAGGTGGAGATTTTCCAATACTCCTTTGCTATCTCACTTGAGTTGGAGTCCGGGAGGGGTGCCAAGATGAATTGGAGGATGAAAAAGTCAAACTATGGCTCAATCATCGAACATTGTCAGTATGGTCAATGATCATCTGATAATCGAGTTCAAATGACGCTCAGAACTAATAAGTGTCGCATGAGATGAACAAGGCCGACGATATGGGACATGGCTGTCATTACAGTTTTGGCTATGTACGCAGAGTCAATTTGGTGGCAAAGGTATGATGGGTATGGACAAAAGTCGTGTTTTTTTGCCTAATGGCCGGATCAAAGTGAATGCGGGTACATTCATACGAATTGGATGATGAATTTATGAGGTTTTACGAATGGGTTTTTGGTGGATTACATTATTTAGTGTAAAATGGAGAGGATGTTACAGTACAGACGTCACATATCCATCGCTAAATAGAAAGTTGAGTAAAGAAAGGAAGAGGAAGCAAAGTTGCTCTTTCCGCTTCATTTAGAATAGAGATCAAATCAACTAGCTATTGCAAACCTTCTTTCTCCTTCTGTCTTCATACAAACGTAGGTACACATTCATTTCTCGTTCTCGACTTTCATCTCTCTATCTTCCATACTATAAAATTTTATTATACAATTCTCTTTTGGATTTCCCTTTACTCTTATTTCTAAATACACAATCCATTGATCCGTTTCATTCGTTTATTGCAAAAATTCCAAGTCAGGAGATTTCAAGCCTCGTCTTGATAGCATTACCTATCTTTGACATTCATTATTGTATCATACGTGTCATACAATTCCAGATGTATAACACACTTATTCTTGCTTTAATAATCGGCTTCATTCATACATCCATATTCGCCCTTATCGCTTACTGCGTAATCACTATACAGGATAATTATCCTGTTGACACCACTCGTCGCCCTTGAGCGCCATACTATACATTTTCAACCAGGGGAGTGCAGTCATGCCGACGCCAACTGAACTCTTTTTGGCCGAGAGGTGTTTAGAAAAGGAGCTGCAGTGTATCTATGGCAAAGTGATCCAGGACGATGAAGATTTTCGAGCAACCTATCTCTACGTCTTAACTGGACGTGGAGCTTCACCGGCAGACCACCCTGCTGCCTGGAGAGAGCCGATATTACAATCAGTAGGCTCTCTCAGTGAGGTAATTAATAACATTCTATCTTCCAATAGCCGTTTGCAATACTCATCATCGTTTTATCAGTCGAGCTCCTCCCGCAGATTTATAGGCTCATACATCGCTCACAACATTGATCTCATCAATCAGGTTCCATTTACTCCACCTCGTTTTGATTTTATTGATATGAGAACGAATTTACCGATAGCCGCAATTAACATGTCGAAGTTTGTGTACTTTCGCTACCATCATTTGCCCGCCAGAGAACTGAGAACAGCCTCTCCCCCTCGAATTGGAAGAAGGCCCGACCACCGAGATTTTGAAAACTACAGGAGAGCTATTGAAATGTTTGTGAGCGACATTGGACAGCGAACGATAGAACGAGCCCGAGGAATCACATCCATGATTGTGCTGGCAAACGTCATGAGCGAAGAGTTTAAACGAAGATGTAGATCGATAGCGAATCACTTCCAATTGGAGACGTTCTTCTACAACTCCGTGACCGATGATCAATTGTACTATGTCTTTACTGATTTTTGGTCATCTATTGACTTTAGGTCCCTTCTAGTTAGCGATGAGCTTCCAAATTCTCCTACAGAGCAAGATAAATGGCGATTTCAATTGAGAAGGTTTACCAAAGTGACGTTTGCTTGTTTAGCACGTGATTACTTCAAATACTGCTTGCAGGTGACAAGGTTAAAGAAGGACCATAATCGATGTGATTCGACGCAACCGTCAGAACGGGAGGAGAAGCTTAATGAGGAGAAGGCCACTTACGAACGATTGTGCCGGAACCTCAGGGACTATCCCAATATAACTAGGGAAAATGAAGTTGTCAGAGATTTGCACATAGAGACTCTTGCGCCTCCCGACGAAGATACACAGCTCATTACAGAACTGCCAGCTATCGAGATACAAGAAGGTCATATTCCACGCGGTGGGATGATTTTTTTCGATGTAGAGAAAGAGAGAAAACGCTTCATTACGGGTTTGCAGAAAGTAGTTGACGAGTGGCGGAAGCCGCCAGCGTTGGTGCTTTTGAAGGACGCTCGGGATTTTTATGCTACGCGGAATTTCCTCGTTGACTGCAATCCACCCATGTAATCATATTCACAAGGATAAAAATCAGCAGCTTTAGAAGCCACAGCCTTAAAAGCAGGAAAGAGTGTATATAGAATTGCCAGGAAATATAGACCATAGCGAGAGGGCATATTGTTTGTCTCTCATTAGCAAAGTAGGTACATGTAGCATTTTGACTGATCTTTTGAAGTGAGCCTCAATTCTCCGTCAGTGCTTAAGGTTAAGTTCTAGATGGTTGAGTAGGGCGGCAGGATCACAATTTTGTAAGGTTGTCCGAGGTGACTATGCAAGAAGAATGCGATACCTAAGTTTCAAGAATAACATTGACCTTATTGACATATGTATGGAGGACGATTAGTCGTTGACTACCTAGCTCGAGCCTACTCGTAGGTAGGTATTGAATTATTATGAGGTGTGATGAACGAAGAGGACAGCCCCATATAAACACCCAGATAACCAACCAATCATTAATGGATTAATTAGATTTGCTTACTACTTTCCCATTCCAGCTCGCCGCAGTATGATCAATGCAGAATCTAACCAATCGGAGCTCACATCTAGTCCGGGTAAGAATCTATTGTGGATCAACGCGGCGCATGGCTCATGACAATGGAGGGCCTCCAATTTTGAAGGCAATACAAAACTACATTGTCTGTCAGACCTCATTCCATAAAACTTTCTCTTCATTTTCGTGTTCACCTAACTTATCTCCTTTTTATTGTCGCTTGAAACCTCAATACCAAAACCACCTTTTGGCCTTGCTGCCCCAAATGATTATTTCCCATCCAAGTTAATCGTATCGTAAGTTTTATAATACTCCTCAAGAATTAATGATGCCTTAAATGGTTACCTTAAAATGGTTTTTTGTATCCTAACTCCTCGTAGTACTGTTAATATGGAAGGCTTAAGTCCAGGAGCTTTTGGTTATAAACCAGCTCCATCCATCTGGCATAAAGACCCCGACATTAGCAGTGATTTCTTGTTAAGCTACGTCGGGAATCAAATGGCTCATGCCGATGGCATCAAGATGGCAAAGTTCAATGTGGACAGCGCCGTCTACACTTCAAAGCGGATGATCCGTCTATCAGATGATAACCTTCAAAGCATTTGCATTGACTGTATTCCCGATTGGAGCGCGCGGGGGGATACCGCTTTATAACTTTTCCAACCTTTTCGATAGCCGCGGGCACTGTCATATCAATATGTAGCTCCCAGAGCTACCACTGCCCGACTTTTTTTCTATTCGCTAAATTTTCTTTTACGGTCCTGGTTTTATACTTCGGTACCTTCTCTTCGATGCTGGGAGCCTTACTCTCCGACAGTTTGTCGCCTAAAGGTGCTACACCGTCGACTCCCTCGAAAGAAACCAATGACTTTTTATTTCATTCACCACATTTTGTTCTTGTTTTCACTGGAATTCATCTCTCGAAGCGAGTGTATCAGCATTTTATACTCCTCGGTGATATTGAACAAGTCACTTGGGAGTATCGAATCAGTCGATGTCACAGGATTGATCAATGCTATGGCCAATTTCATCCTCGATTTTCGCAATTGACCTTGCGCTTTTGCCGCGAGTCACTGCAAAGATGTGACATCCTCATTATGGACGGGTTTGACAACAATTCGATGGTTCTTTTGGACATGACCGATGTACGTCTTAAAACTGCATATTTGACCGATAAACTCATTTCAAAATCGCTTGCTCCGTCTGCACATCTTTTCAAAGACCGACAAGCTGTCCAAAACGAACAGAATACAACCATCGACAAAAACCCCCATATTAACAATCATGGATGACGCAGAGGGCAGCTCAAGCTCGCCGTCTTGGTCTCCAAATGCTGACCAAATTCCATATGCTTACACCGACTTTGCGTGGGGGGCTGATATAGACACAAATGCTATTGGCTTGGAGTGGAGTCAAGCCTGGCTCGAGGAGACTTCATTAAACTCCGAGTCATTGCAGGAAACTCCCAATGCTAATGGAGATGACTTACAATACCAACCAGGGACTAACTTCAGTGAAGAATACTATAATAGTGGCGTTTATGCTGCGAATGAGCTACACGTGCTGCCTGTACCAAACTGGAATAATTTGAACGAGACATTGGACTTCGTGAATTTGAACGATCTCGATAATCTCTTGTCCATCTCACCTAGAGATTTGGACGAGATCATTACAAATTCACTGTCTCCACTCGATTGTTTCATTGGCCCAATCTCTCAGACCACTAATACCGAACTTCTCGCCAACGATATTCATTGCGATCCATTCCCAGAAACTTTCAACCACATGGAGGCCCAACAAGCTTATGGGTCTTATCCCATCGACTGGGCCACTAATCCACCGATACTAGACAACTCTGTCTGGGATCCAATGCAATCCTCGCTATATATAAGTCCGTCCACTGGAGTTCACCTCCCTTCGACATCTTCCGCCACACTATCTCCTATTTCAAGCAACTCTGAAATTATGTCATCTCCCACGCAATATTCCAATACCAAAACTTCCATCTCAACATCTCAATCCAATTCCAACTCAACTACACCCTCAAGTGATCGCTCCACATCCAATTCACCACCAAGTACCCAGAATGAATACACGTGCATAATTTGCTCCAAAACATTTTCTAAGCGATTCGAATTCAAGTATGTCCTTTCATTTACCATATCCTCTCCTTCAAAACTTCCATCTTCATTCCTCTTCCCTCCAAACACTCACTAACTACTCCTCCAGTAAACACAAACCCCTCCACACCCTCCCCCACGCCTGCACCATCTGTCCACACCGCACAGCCCGACGCAGAGACATGACGCGCCACATCGCCGCCAAGCACAAGGACGTCGGTCCCTCGGGCCCTAAACCGGTGTCAAAACCTATTTGTCCTGTGGAGGATTGCAAACAGGGGTTTGCGAGATCGGATCATTTGCTTAGACACTTGAGGAGAAAACATCCTGGATATGAGTTGAGATCTTGAGGTTTCCGTTTCATTTTCATTTTCGTTTACCGAGGTTTGATTTAGCATGGCGTAAAAATTGTCTTTGGGATAAAAGTAAACAAATTAAATCGTTTAAAAACTTAAAAAACTAACTGCCTGGTTTGATGTCACTAATCACTCGTCGCGTGCGTGTCCCATACCTCTGCTAAACCGCAATCCTCAAACACTTCAGAGAATAAAACATTATTCATATTCATATAAAGTCGTAATTAACAAACATCTATCCAATATCATACTTTCAAATGCCCAACATAACCCCTAACCCCAACGCAGCCGGCATCGCAAAATTCGTAATTTGTGCCTGAAACCTCTCCGCCCCTCCTTTACTCGTACTTGTCGCCGTCGGACTCGCCGTCCTACTACTGCTCACCCCAATACTCATATTAATATCCTTCATCTGCAACTCCACCGGCTCACTCGCATGAACGGTCTCGGATCCAAATTGTATCAGCCCGAGATACATATCATTCGTAATATTTCCAATCGAGACCAATTCTTTGACAAGCTCAAAAACATCCGCGTCGATCGATTCCTGATAGACAGTTGGAACCCACGAGAACACAGCTTGTTTTTGTCCTTGTTGATTGCGTCCGGTGAAGAGTTGATAAGTTACTCCAGATAAAACATACTCCGGAGCGCCGGTAGGAGGATCGTAGTATCCGATTGGCCAGACCCCACCCCAGACGGATTGCCAGATCATCACTTCGTGTGTCGCTTGGGATGCGTTGGTTGCGGATACGTTGTTCATGTCGAGGAACATGTCGAGGGCAATGTCGGCTTTGCAGGCGATAGCATTGAGGGCGGTAGTCATGTTTGAAGCGGTGGGGGAGGCGACGGGGAAGACGGACCAGCTGCCGCTGAGGTGGAAAGACTCGACGTTGCTCACTAGTGTGGGGAGTTGGATGGATTCGTAGCCGACGTTGGGGTAGGCGTGGACCTGAAGAATGTTAGGTTTGAAGTTCTCAGAGTGGCGACGAGGTTAGATGGGGTGGGGAACATACATATTCGATATTCTTTTCCCAAATCCAGGTCGCATTGAAACTTGCGCCATTGGTATCTGCCAGAAGAACCTATAAGAAGCCAAAATCAATATCAAATTCTCGCAACATTCAATCGCAACTTCGGATTGGAGATCATAAACATACAGTCATATTCTGACTTCCACTCCCATCATCACCCCATTTATTCGACCCATACAGATAATCCCCGGAATCCGTCAACGCACCACCATACTGTTCATTCAAATCTTGATACTGCGATGACTTCGCACTTGCATTCCTCGACTGTAACAACAGACACCAAAACCACAATCCCCATAAGGGAATACTCTGACGTTTAAACATGTGAAAAGAATAAAGATAACAAGTTGTGGAGTTCTACGGGGGGAACTGCATATCAAATGTATTTATTCCAAAAGACCAACCTCGTGAGATCCATATTTTCAAGTGGATCGATACGAGGTTGTTCGTCCGTACACGCAATTTTGTTTGCTATCGCCAACATCATCTTCCTTGAAAATATCGATTTCCGAAATTGAAGGTGGGCCGCAAGCATCAAGGGTTGTGTTTTGGAATTCTGGGAGAAAATGCCAAGTTGAGGATCATTTCTCCATGATGTCCTGTCATGCATTTAAGCTTAGTTTACGAGCCAAGAGAATACATAAGAAGAAGAATCTTCGAAATAAGATTCTTTGAATACGCGTTGGATTGAGGGGTTTCTCTTCTTGGTTGATAAAGCCGTTAATCTCTACTTCGTGTTAATGTCAAACAATGTAAAAATAGATTTCAAACTAGTCTTGCCCTGAGCACTTCGGATGCTCGGGACTCAACGGCCACTAATGTATCGATAAGCCCAAGTTCGTCCCACTTTTTGCTCAGGGGTAAAGTCGGTAGATGTCATTCGCACGTGAGACAGTGAAGATTTGTCTTTGGCACGTGCACGAATTCGTGAGAGGAGAGAGGGTGGATTTGAAGATAACTTTTGCATCATTGCTTTGAAAGCTTTGAGACTTTGTGGAGATACTCGTTATAAATCAAGTAATCGAATTATAGGTTTTTATATAAATCAAAAAATATACGGTTTAATCGTGATTTTTCCGCTTTGGATAACGTCTCACGAATCCGTACACCCATTGTTGGTGCTCTAGTATTCGAATCGATAGATTGCATGAATATAACTCTAAGACTTTTACTAAAGAAGCAGATAGCCGACTGCATTTCTAAGCATGGCATGCATGTTCTCCCTTTTTCAGAAAATTCTGTACAACCGGGGAGTTTGATCCATCATTGTTTCTTGAAATGTTAAGACGTGCAAACTACCTGTTCGAGGTAATTCCTCATCTCATAATACACAAGCGTGTCTAGAAGAATTTCGACTACCATTCTACAACAGAGTAGGAAACAATCAGAACATTACTCCATGGCAATCATGAATAGTGCTTAGCTGCAACTGCTGAATCGGAAAAATTCACTCTCCAAGTGTTGAGGTAGATTGGCTTGATTTGAGACGATAGGCAAGGGCTTGGGGTGTTGATAATGGGGGGAGTTGACCAGAATCTGAGATATCAGATTCTTCACCGTTAGATAAATCCTCGTCAAGAGATTCGTTGGTGGAATATTCGCTATAGTGAGATTCTGCAAAAGAGTCATCGTCACCTCTCCCAGGGAATAAATCGACGATATCAGAACGACCAATGATGGCGGCAAGATCCTCCGCAGTATTTCCGTAATCGTCTTTGTGGGAAGTATCGGCACCAGCAGAAAGCAGTGCCCACACAGCTTCTTCATTTCCTAGATGGCAGGCCAGATGTAAGTAGGTCTGTCTGTGACTGAGAAGCGCTTCTATGTTTGCGCCCGAGATAAGTAGAGCATACATGGCTCGCAAATTCTTAGATCGAATGGCGATGGCAAGCGGTGTGAAATTCTGGTGATTACGAATTTCTAAATCGGGACCATGTGCTAACAATAATCGTAACTTCCCAAAATCTGCTGAGTCGTGGCTGCCTGATAGTAAATGTAGATGTGAATGTGTCTTTTCATCTATGGCTATGGATCCACCGCTTTCCGCTAAAGTTTTGTTTGTGGGCACGTCCTCTGTTTTAGCCACTGAAAATGCGTATTCGAATGATTCTACAGCAGGTAAATCACTCTCTTGAACCTTTTCCAAAAATGGAAAGGAGCCACGAATGTCTTTCGTGATGGAGGATTTACCTCTTCTAGTCAGCCCGTCCCTCGATGTGCCGATATCGCCATTTCCTTCCTCATCAGTTGTGGTGTAAGCTTCGTGCTCACTCACCACAGACGAACGATCACAACTGCCTTCTTTGTCACTGTCTTCTTCATCACTGTTTCCCTCGTAGCTGTCTTCTTCGTCACTGTCTTCTTCATCGCTGTTTCCCTCGTAGCTGTCTTCTTCGTCGCTGCCTCCTTCGTCAAGCATAAAAATGGGATCTTTCTGTAGCCCATCTTCAATGCGCAGGTTGAATAGCTTCTCCATATAACCTACCGTGCAATAACGAGCCAATATATCTTGCATCATATGGCTGCCCAAGTCCTTCGCTAATTGTCTGAAAATATATTCGACTTCATTGGCCGAGTTTGCTGCGTCAAGCAACCTTTCAAGCAGACCGGGGTTCTTCTCACACGCGCTTGAAACATCCCCCGCTCGCCATATTTTGAGAATAGACAACATCTCATTCAAATGGGATTTGGATATCAGTAACTCCATTGGAGTGATATTCATATTTTTTGAAATGGTCAAATTCGCCGGATGTTGTAGAACGGCTGTCAGTATTTTTAGTGTGTGTATGCGTTCCCAATCCCATTTAGAAACCGCCCTTTCCAGGAATTCGTGAAGAATCGTGTTCCCTTCTTTGTTTCGCCAGTTGAAATCCAGCACAATGTTGTTGTCCCATAATCTAAAGATAAAGCCAAACACTGCGTTATTTATATTCCCACAGACAAATGCCAATTTCTTCGAGGCAAGTGCCTCTGAGACTATCTTTTCAAGGTAGTTTGAGGGATTCACTCTTGAACTTTGAATGAAGTCCAACATTAAGGCGTTCAGTTTCGTCATCCAATGCCCAGTATGCTCTTGTGAAATGGGAGTTATGTTCCCTCTGTCATTTCGTGATACTCCAAGAAAATCAATACCAAGAAAAACTTCCAGACTTGACGGCGAATAATCTGAAACAGCTAAATCATCATGAATGATTGCAAGAAATAACGGCAATGTATCCGGTGCGAAATGTGAGAAACTCGTCCGTGTTCCCCATGTTAGGAATTCGACGAACAAGCAAGCATTATCATAAGTTCTTTTTTCATTTGCGAGAGGCTTATCTGAGCTTCTTTCCAGAAAAGTGTGTTGAAGAAATGCAGAAAGACTCTCAACGGAGAAAGTCGGATTCTTGTCAAATATGAGTCGGAACAATTCGGCATCCGACTCGTCATTATAATATTTAAATGTTCCTGAGTGTCGAAAGAGGAGTTCTATGACATCGACATTGTCGAAATCTGCACCGGCCATGATCAAATATTTGATGACCTTCTTCTTTGAATCCCATCGCCAATCTTGAAAATGCCGAAGTAGCATCTTAGTGGATGGATGTGCGTTCTCATATATTGCGTTATTGCATAGTATCGCACAATCAAGTGGACTGCCAACAACGCTTGGCGCATTCAAATCAGCTCCACGACCGATGAGTGCGGTGCAAACACCAGGCAAAGCAATCATAGCAGCCCAGTGAAGGGCAGAAGGTCTTGATGACCCCATCACGAAATTCAGGTGATATGCTGGTGAGAGACAATCTAAGCTTAACAAGTCGGTGGCGAAGCAACAAGATAACATTGTGTAATGATAGTAGCCAAATGTCCACAATCTGTAACTGCTTCTCGTTTCATCAAAAAGAAGTAACATGCAAGTTGAAATTTCGCTCCATGTACTCTGGTGAACATGAACCGTCCAAAAATTAAGAACATAATTCATGAACGAGTAGTTGTCCTCGAATTCCTTCCAGGCTTTATTAAAATCTGTCAACTCCTGCCCGAAATTCGTCACTGGTAGCGGTATTCCATCGAATTCCGAAAGACTTAAGAAGTCATAACACATTCTCACAATCTCGGCATGATCCCCAGAAAGTCTGTATTGTGAAATCGCTGGACCACATTCTTCAGAAAGGCTCAGGAGGTATTCTTTCACTGTGAAGTGCGCAAGCTCTAGCTCATCCGATTGAGACTTTTGGCGTATGAGACTACTACACCAGTTGAGGAGTTCTTCCAACGTAGTCATGTTTTCCTTCTCGAAAGTCTCGTCACCAGGTCTTACTGCAAGTGCTTGGAGCAGTTGTGTTATCGTTAGCGGCTCTTCGGCGTATACCACCCAAAGGAGTGTATGCCTGACAAGGGTTTGATTCTCTTTACTGCTTCGATTGACCCTTTCAAGAATACGTTCATATGATTTGGGCAGATCTGGGGGTAATTTGCGTAAGGCCTCACGGCGATCTCGATCCGTACTGCATTCGCAAAGGTAGTCCATTTGACATGCAACCCACCGAAACCTAGATATACTTAGCTTCACATGTAGGCCATTTGGAGTAAAGAAACATACATTCCATCAGCGCCTTCCGTAAGTACTTTGACAATGTGGTCCTTTAGGTTATGATCTCTGATACGGAGCTTGCCGAGTTTCGTTCGATTCTCTATCTCAGAATGCACATAAAGTCGCAAGTCACCACTTTTTGCCGCAATGGAAACAGAGGGATAATCTTCCAATACGTTTCGGATATCAACCTCATTGCGACTCGCCAAGAGGGTTTTGATTGTTCCTGATGGCTTGTTCAAGGATTTCAAAAGTCTAGTGACCTCCGCGCGATCTTCAGCAATCTCATCTAGGCCGTCTACTACGATACTGGTAGTGGAGAAATTTCTTGATAGTTCGACGATAAGTTCGCAAAAGTCGTCAGTGGTGGCTGAGCCTTGAGTGTTTTCCGTCATGTGGTGCTTCTCGCAGAAAGCTTCCAGTTGCGTAAAAGCATGTTCATGCTGAAGAATCAGTTGTCGCGCCAAGGCCCCCAGAATGGTCCGTGGATCGTGGGTCTGAATGTCCTTGTAATCACAATAGAACATTGCAAGTCCTTTTTCAAAGCGTCAGTCCAAACCCTTATCTCAGAGTGTCCGACTATATGTTTTTCATACCATGAGATGGATCCTGGGATTGTTCAATCTCACTTATAACAGATGCCCTATTCGCAATTCGATTAATTCATTTTGAATCTAGATTTGACCTCAAAATAAATTTACATATGACTTACATCAGAATCGTTTTCCCGGCTCCGGCTATGATTGTCAGAACTCATCTGGTACATTGAAGGGCTGGATTGTGACAAACGTATTCCATAGATCCATAGCTTTGAATTGTCTGTAGATGTCCAGTCCTTGAAGTCCTTGCTCTCGGTAAACCAGATGCCAGTTCCAGGTTGTCTCAATCTAATATTCGAATTTTGCCATTTCATGACATCGATGGTACCTAGAAGATTGAGCTTCTTTCTTAATCTTTCGTCTTCATCATAATCAGCACAAACACAAGCATGTTCAATTACACAGAGAACTCACCCGCAGCCAATCTTTGCCGTTCTATTCGGGAAGCCTCTATCCTGTCGTTTATGGCAGTGACGTCTTTAATAAGTTGTTCTTGGTTGGCAAGTATCTCAATCAAGGTAGACCTGTGCAAGTCAGTCAAGCAAAAGACGACAATTTGGATGATGTGTGTCACATTTGTTGAGTGTTTAAAGCTAAATTCATGGTAATTTTGTGACTTTGAATCTCTTCCAACAACTCTGAAGTTACCGCCTTCTTAAATGGCCACTTCAACTTCTGAGATGTTGACTTTACTTCCGGTATAGCTTTCTGCAATTGGTCTGACATTTTCTCCAGGGTCTTTTGACAAGAATATAGATGCTTTATCTTGCTGGAGCTATGCACCGAAGTATCTTGCGCTTCTAGTGCCTGTGCCACATTCTCGAGACTGTGAAGCACACCGGAAAGATTGTTGACTTCTTTGACGAGATTTTGGACAGATTTTTCAGCATCTTTGACATCTCTGATGTATTTGTAACCCAGTCGAACAACCGTATCAGCTAGCGATACCAAACCAGCAATGCTAGAGGCAACACCGAGAACCTCAGCCATTTTATGACTTTTTGGTCGGTCCTCTGAGAAACTGACAATGTGAATTTTATATTTGGAAAACAAATGTGGGACAATGATACGCAGCGACACTAAAAAGGCATCGAAACTTGCGTCATGAATTGAGCATCCTGCTCAAAACGCGGAGTCATCGATGCTCTTATTAAACCACCTTATGGCATTGACGTCCTTGAGAATGTGCTTCGCCTCATGATATTGGTTTGATACTTTCCTGTTTAGAATTTAATTGCATAATACAGCCTTGCTGTGCATGATATCGTGTGAGAGTTCGGAGTGACTGAGAAATGATTGGGCCTAAGAAATTGAAAAGAGAAGCGCGCGGGAGCTGTGCAAAATGGAAGACCAATGATAAATGATATGACGAGTCAGCATAGCATCCAAAAGATATGTTCTCTTATCCAGTGATGAATGATAAGTAAGACCCAGTTAAGGATGGGGATGATCGAAAATAGCCTTGCTTACTGCTTATCAGTCCATGTAAAAAGACGTAGTATACTTTTGTCGCAATCCTGTGCTAAAGATTACCACCAAGAAGACATACTCATAATATAGATAACAAGGGACTCATTCTGAAGCACAGCTCAACGTTGAAAAAGGTATCCATTCATTATTCATAATATCAGCAATCGCATAGCTCTCCTTCCCATTTTCCAAACACCAGTAAAAGTCCAAATCCATGTAAACAATCTCTCATCACCAAATGGTATTCCAAAATCCTCCCCTTCCATCCCTAGCATCGCAGGAAAACGTCGTCATCCACCCTTCATCGATTCCCCATAATCTCAATCGTCTCCCAGCACCTCACATAACAGTGCAAGGAATAGGAATGCAACAGCATTCGTATCCATCACACTCCAAACACTTTGTCTTTCCAGTGGTACTGGTACCCTTCACGATATCGGAGATGGTAGATGAGGCTGCGGAGCCAGGACCGTTGCGGTTGACGAGGCCGGTGGAGGTTGAGGTGCACATTTTGAGTTGTTGTATTTGGTTTAAATTTAGATTGAGGATGAGGATGAGGATGAGTTTGTGTGGTTTGAGGTCTGCGGTGGAAATGTTTGTTAGTTTTGTCCCTGATTATTTATGATGACGATACAAGCTTGATAAGGTGAATGTCTTGAAATGTGACGGCTGTGGCGTCATATTTGTGGTACCAGCTAGCATTACAACCTCATCATACGTGTAAGAAATTCGGGGAGTATCTTATCTTACCTCAACGTTGTGATTGATAGCTGTTGATAAGATTTCTGAATGGGGTTTGAATCTTGAATGGATTTCTTGTGTCTGGAAAGGAAGGGCCAAGGAGGGAAGTGAATGATAATATATATAATTCTAGACGTGGCTTGATACAAAGAAAGTCAATTGTTAGGCATGAATCTTGGAAGCTTGGAACTCGCCTAGCAATTGGCCCATCGTCATTTTGGACGATGTAATAGTGGAGGCGCAATTAGCGGACAATCATTATAACTTTTCTTGCAGAGAATGAACCTTGGTTAAGTTTCGGGTTTCAAGGGTTTGGTTTATCAATTTTAGATTGCTATCTGGCATTAAAAACATCCTAGTACCCCAGCATTTTTCTGTTGTCTCGTCCGACTACCTAGGTCTCAAGAGCTGCCAAGTGGCTGTAGATTCCCACCTCCGTGCTGGTCTACCTTCTTCTTCTTCTTATTGGGACGAACAGGGGAGCTTAGGTTCAACCAAGATACCAAGCCGTCTAACAATTGAGATCAACTCGTCGGTACCAGAAATAGTTATAGCCCGTGAGGCTATGGTGGCTAAGCCTTGCCTTTGTAGAATTCATATGCCGGTCTTTCACAGATGATATTTCGAGGGAATTGACAACGCCTCAGTAGACGCGTCTCATCCGATAATCTTCGTTTGGAACAGCGCAGCAACATCTAGACGCATGGCACTTGCAGATGGCTGTGTTCTATCCCGGGCTTCTGGAATCGTCTGGACAATCGTCTTTCAGCCAAATTCCAGGTCCAATTGCTCCCAAATATCTTTCCCTTCGTCCTCTATTACATTCTCATGTTCTTGACTACTGGTATTCGCCTCATCTCCTAGTTTGATCTCGACAAACCCTTCTAGCATTCCTTCGACCTTCTCCTTCATTTTCATGATGCCCGCAGTCTCCGCTCTGGATTTGTCTAATTGATCCTGCATCATTGCAATCAATGATTCTCGTGCTTGATATGGTCGATATTCGTTCAGCAAATGATGGAAATTGGCGAATATAGTATGCAAGTCCCCTATCTTTTCGTGGCTCTATGAATGTCTCAATTAGCATAGTTTTTGGCGAGAAAGAGAGATGGGTTCGCATACTTGTTCTGGATGAATACTCATTGTGCCAACCAATTCTAAAAAGTTCAATAGTAATGACTTTGCGAATCTTTTGAGAATCAATTTGCGATCCTCATGCTTTCCGGTTCCTGTTGGTGTGGTAGGTGGTGTATATATTTGCTCAATGCCCTCTTCAAGAGGAGGAAGTTCATTTTTAATCTGCCATAAAATATTAGTGCTTCTCATCCTCTATTTGACAGATCAATGTTCAGTCGCGTTCAACATACTTGTCGGATTTGTCCAAATGTTCTGTAAACTCCAGTCGCTGGTGGTTCTGGGGGTTGCAGAAATCGCAATTCGGCGGGAACATCATGAATACGAGGAGGGAGCTTGTAAGATAAGTTGTCGGCGACCTTGTAGTTTGGAAAGTTCTCCGCGCGTAGCTTCTCTATCCGTTCAAGATTATCGGTAGTAAATTGCTTCCAAAATAATGGTGGACCGGGGGAAACCTGTGCTATCAAGTTTGGCTGCTGCTGCTGCTGTTGTTCCGCCATGATTGATTTTGGTAGAGGTTATCTTTCCATGGAATTGAGATAATTGGCTAAACCTGTGATATGTTAAGCTCTTCCAATGTTGTGGAGTTGTCTAAAGTTGGATGCTCTTGTTTTAAAAACAATGGTAGATGGACTTGGTAGACAATCATTGATTAGATAGAAGTTAATAACCGAAGATCCTCCGGTGCCAGACAAGGCTGAGGAAAGTGGGTCGCGTGCCTTTCAAGGGACGTCTTCTTACGAACTGCCCAGTCCATAACTCGAAACCAAACATTCTGGCACAATCATTCATTTTTTTGATATATACTCCTCAATGAGAAGAACCTGACTTTTACCGCTGCGCTGTGTCGCAAGAATGTCTCGAATCGGACGAAATAATGGAGGATTGACCTCAAAGCCCGGATGGATTGGTGCAGTAGCCCGTTTCTGGGAGGTAAAGCCATTCAAACACATTATTTTATTTGTGTTTTCACCCTCCTAACACTTCTATTCTAGAAAAGCTATGCGCCAGATTATGTTGGCTTTGTATTGCTGTTGACGGCATACATTTTGGTAATTCCCCTCGTTCATTTTGCCCTTGTTATATACCTCCGTACAACTTCTAATCAACCCCCTTTATTCAGATCGAATTTCTTCAAGAGCCATTCCACCGCATGTTTTTTATAAACAACATCAATATTCAATATCCACATGCTTTGGTGGAGAGAGTACCCGTTGGATGGAATTTGATATATGCAGGAGTTATTCCATGCATAACCTTGGGCGTTTGGCTTGGAATTTCGAGAGCGAACCTCCACAAATGCCATGTCACTATGTTGGGATTCTTTATAGGACTGGTTCTCACATCATTTATCACTGATGTTATCAAAAATGCTGTTGGGAGACCTCGACCCGATCTTATCTCTCGCTGCAAGCCTACACCTGAAACACCAGAAAATAAGTTGGTAACCATTCATGTATGCTCGGAAAAAGATCACCATACATTACATGATGGATGGAGAAGTTTTCCCTCTGGTCATTCGTCCTTTGCATTTGCTGGACTTGGATACCTCGCATTTTTCTTTGCAGGACAAACACATGTGTTCAGACCTAGAACTGATCTCGGGAGGGTACTCTTAGCCCTCGCCCCATTGCTTGGAGCTGCCATGATTGCGATTAGTCGATGCGAAGATTACCGGTAAGTTGCGCTGTCGTTAATTTTCGATGACAAGTACTAACGCTATTATAGTCATGATGTGTATGATGTAACATGTGGATCTATTCTTGGTATTTCTCTAGCATATTTCTCATATAGAAGGTATTTTCCAAGGCTGCATTCCTCCAAATGTCATGAGCCTTACCCGTCACGAGAAGCTGCATTCAACCAAGGGTTTGGAAAGATCAAAAACGATGAAGAAACGGAAGTGGGCAGGGCTAGAGAGTTTGATGTATCTGACAACGAGAGTGGTGCATCCTAATTTTTTTTTTTTTTTTTTTTTAAACTGGCAGTATGATCCCATTGTATAAGTCAAGCCTCGTTTCCATGTTCTTGAGCCTCTCAGACACTTTAAATCCATTCACTATTTACCGCATTTGGGGAAAATGACTTGCTTTACCTCTCTTTGTGTGTTTGGAAAATTTCTTCGAGAAACCTCGTGGAAACCTTTGTGACCATTATGACGGTAATTGTCCTTTGTTTCATAAATCTTAACTTCACGGCAAATCACGCCTTACTTTTCTACATCTGTTCAATTTCAATTTCAAATCACTCATACTATTTTTGTCTTCGATACATCATTTCTTCTGACATCGAGACTTGGGGGAAGGATCATTTCTTCTACTTTGTGTTGATTATATAAAATCCGGGCGCTAGGGATTTCAGTTTCTATTGTGCTAGTATTCTCTATGTGCCTGATTCTGAGCTTGGAACAACATGGCCGACGCACTTCCTCCTGTCAGGCATAGTCGGCTGGTACATCTAGCTGGACTGTTAAAAACTGGGCGAATTGAGCTCAAGATTGCTTCTCAGTGGGTGCAAAAGCATTCTTTGTTGCTATTAGCTTTTGGAGCATCCACAGTATATCGAACGTGGCTCACTACGCCACTAAATGGCTTATTGCGGTGGGTAGGCGGAATTTATTATTATTATCAAGCCTACTGGCTGGTGAACATTTACACGTTCAAAGACATACAAAAATGTAACTCAATCTTGGAAAACGTAAAAGGTTGGGAACCGGGGTATGATTTCTGGGAGATGCGTAACGATCAATGGTGGCTTTATATGTCCTGCCTAGGAAATGACGCTGGCTGGTCGAAGAGATTATGGGATAATGTAGTGAGCAGCCCCGATACTAACTTACCAGTTGAAACTAACAGTCAAAGGATGCGATTTACGAATCAATCAATAGAATATCTGATATTTTCATGCCGGATTGGCGTACGGACCAACGGGTGTTAGCATACACAGTTGTTAGTTAATGATCACTTTCCCAAAAGTCATATCAAATTGTCTAACAGGGTGTCTACAGCCAATAAATGTAATTCTTGTGGGTTTGTATGGACTAATTGTATGTGATGATATTCATTCTTTCTTCTTCTTACTGAAACGAAACTCACAATATTGTAAAGGTTAGAGAAGGTTTGTCTGAGTGGATGTGGTATCCAACGATTCTTGCCACGAACGCACTCATAAACCACCTGCTTTACGGAGGCCTCCTTATGTACCTTGGCCACATTTTACCCAGCCTTGTTCCGTTAGTCTTTTGGCATGGGCTTCAATATGGCGTACCGGCTTTCTTGATAATTCATAGACTAGAATGGATACCTTTACGTGCTGCATCAATGATCTTCGACCGTCAGAGAAGGTTGGCCGCTGCTGGACGTGATTTGGAAAGCGTTCAGGATCAGCAAGATTTAGAAGAGTTGGCTCTTATTCTGTGGTGGAGAGGAGGTTTATTACGTCTTGCTCGTCTCGAAATTGCTAAAATGATTGTTCGATGTTCGAGTGTATTAAAACTGCTTCTCGATGCGTGTCGGTCTCTTTGGGTCTTTTGCAAAACACGATTGAGTTTGAGGAAGCGAGTCGCAGATCTTGAACATCAAATAACCGGTATTGAACAGCGACTAAGTAACGCTATAGAGAGCCGAAATGGTTGGAGGAGGAGGTTTCTGCAAATGCTGAGATTGCGAAATGAATGTGTAGGACTTCATCACCATTTTGAAGTTCAAGATGAGAAAATACGTGGATTGGAGCGACAGAGGGATGAGAAACAGGTGGCATATGATGAACTGTTGGCAAAATTCAACGCATCACGTCAAGCTTCAAGTGCCTTGATGTTAGCGGGGGGTCCAGCTAGAGCGACAGAAAAGTTGCTTGGAGTGGCTGTTTACACGAGGGATTTGCACCGTAAACAGATACAAAATCTTGTTTCTTCGTTCATAGAAGCTGGTGCTGAGATGGCCATACTCAAAGATAAAGTCAAAACGTTGGAAGAGGATCTTAAAACCGTCAACAACGGTAGGGCGACAATGTTGTGGCGAGAGACGGCGCAAGAAAATCTTGAATTGAGGAGACATGCACAGGAAGAGATTTTGGAACGAGATGTGACAATTAAACGTTTGAGGGACGATCGAGATGAAAGTGCTGTAACATCACTTAGTTTGGATTCTAGAGGACAACAAATCTTGCGAAAACTACAAGAGAGGTTGATCAGTGCGGAGGTTGACCTCGCCCATTCCGAAATGATAGTTGAGAAATCGAAGTTTGATAAAATCAAACATGAAGAAGAGATGGAACAAACCAAGAGAGATGCATTATATGGGGAGTCTGAGCGGTTGGGGGGGCTGTACACGGATGCAGTCATCCAGGCTAGTGAGCTGACCGAAGAGCTCAAAAGGTTTGAATTTTCTACAGATCCGGAATGTGATATCGAGGCTGTTCAACGTCACTGTAATCAAGAAAGGGAAAAATTGCAAGGAGAGATTGCAATCAAGAACGTGCAGATATCTACATTTAAGGCACAAATTGACCACGCGATGGGCTCTATGAACTGGGCTGATAATAGGTTTGAGCCTCTGGACAAGTATTTTGGTTTTATACCTGGCGCAAAAGACGAGATTAGACGCTTGTCGACCGCACTTGAGAAGGTTCATTTCCAAAATATAGTACCTCAAGCACCCGAAATGGCGAATCAATTGCGTTACTTGGAAAATTTGACTACCGAAAAGAACCATTTACTTGACGAAAGACAAAGTTCTCGAGTGATTCTAGCCGAGCTCTCGCAGGGTAAAACTCAGAATGAAGCGGAACTGGTCAGATTGAGAGATAGAGTGGCTCGGAGGAACACACAAGTGACAAATCTGAAGACACTAAATACGGAGCTACAGCTCCAACTCAGAGAAGCACAAGTGGCAGCACCACCAGTAGGAGAAGCGCTGAATATTACTGGAATAGCGGCTCCCATTCTGGCAATTTATGCAAGAAACCTCCTAGCATTGAGGAGAGAAATGCAAGAAAGGGGTAAAGAGATATCAGACATCCCAGATATTCCGGGAGCTTATGGCATTCCACGTGTAGAAGGAGAGCCTCTAGAAATCTCTATATTGAGGATTTCCAACCAGCTAACAGGCATATTCCACGATCTATCTAGGTTGGTAAGAGAGAGTGATCCCCCATGGCTAGGAGCGACAGATGACTGGGTGGATGATAATACAGACAGTCCGGAGAATTTGAATGCGCGTAGGCTCAGTCGGATATTAAAATTGAAAGACATTTGGGATTATATCGGAACATTAAATTACGACACCATTCTTTTCGTCCGCGAAATCTGCCAAAAATTTGGCATAGAACCTGGGTTTGAACTACCGGAGAGACCCCAGTCTCCATCGCCCCCACCTTCTCCAACTCCATCTCCGCCGCCTCCCCGTTCTAGGGATAGAGATCTATTTCCAGCACTATTCACACAATATGAGGTATTTGATATTGAGAAATGGAATGTATTTCCACACGATCAAGAGAATATTACTCCTGCTTTCAGTGTCATATCGGCGTTGCAACGATCTATCCAAGAACAATTACCAGATGATGATGCAGTCAACCTTGAGCCCATTGAATTTGAGGCTCACTTAGCAGGTACACTGGGTCGAGTTATTAACTTCCTGATCGACCCAATTCATGAACGCGACGTGGCTGAAGCTCTATATAAAATCAGTAATTCATTTGTTCTGAAGACCGTTACACAATTTCCTCGACGAGATGGTGGCTTCAAATATCTATCCCGGGAAATTTTGTATCCGGATACCTTGGAAGTGACTGCACCAAGAAAGGTCGTTGTATTGTATTTATCAGGTAATATTTGGCAGGGTATGAGCTTGAAGCCAGTTGAGTCTGAGCATGAGTCTGACAGCAGATCTGATGTTCAAACTCCTCCACCGGAGCCACGCTCATTTGCGATGATGGAATTCGATTTGACAGACTGGAAAGTAGATCATGTTATCGACAGGTGGACAATTCCTGGACAGGCTGTTTTACGTGAAGGTCTATCTTCAATAAGTGCAGTGGCAAATTCCTTCCACTGGCAGTATCCAGGGATTTTATGGAATAATATGAGGGCAAACGAGGCCTATGAGGATCTCTTTGACAGATTCCAGAGAGCTCATCCGCACCACGAGGAAGATTATTTTCAGGAGCATGTTCAAGTGGTGTTAGATGATATACTAAGAAATGGAGCTAACAGACCACATTACAGGCTCGCAGCCATCACTCCACACGAGGTAGCTGCTGGAGATTCTAGGTTTTTTGTGAGTATTTATGGGGACGATTCAGAGAGTCCTTTGCTTTACGTAGTTTGCCAACCGCAAATTGGGTGGAGGGGTATGCGGAGGAGGCGGGATGGTGATTCCGATGGCTTTCTTGGGGATTTAGAATGGGGGTCCTCAGTCCAGCAGCTACGAGCCGAAGAGATACAAGCGGAAGAGATACGAGCCGTAGAGCTGCCAGCTGAGAGGCTACCTGCTGAGAGGCTACCTGCTGAGAGGCTACCTGCTGAGAGGCTACCTGCTGAGAGGCTACCTGCTGAGAGGCTACCTGCTGAGAGTCTACCAGCCAACCCTATTGTGATTGATGAGCCAGTCGAGGCACCACCAATACTACCAGCTGTCATTTTGCCCAGGATTGAGAATTATGGCAGAAATTCTATCAAAGCCCCATTTAACGGCGATGGATGGACTTTTAATGTCGATCTAGAACATTTCAACGAAGGCTTGAGACGTGGTGGTAATCGAACACCCTGGATACATAATTGCGCCCCACGAGCATTGCATTATTCAATCCGCCATCAACGTCCCAACTATTTGCGAGGTAATCTCACTCCAGAATCAGTACTGCAAGCGTTCAATGATGTTTTTCCCCGACACGAAAATTCTTGGAAAGACGAGGAAGTCGCTAGAATACTCAGAGGATATCCGACACTGGGGGGATATGAACTTGCGATTGTCAATTGTATGACTCGTGCCGACGGTACTATCATTGTTTTAGCTTGGTCCCAACCAAGTGGATACAATCCTGCAAGTGACAACTTATTGTTTGTTGCGTCAGTTAGTGATCGACGAATAGGATACTGTCAGGAAGATGATAGACACCATTGGGTGGGTATGAGATATCGGGATGGCGAAGCAATTCCAAATCCTCGGTTGTTCAGACCCCAACCAGCCATCCCTCCTCCCAAGCCCCCAAAATCAAAATTCATGCCTCTGCTGAATGCAGCGACAAGCAGTCAAGGATCAAAGAAAACCCCTGTGTCCAAGAGTAGTGCATCTACTTGGTCTAATTTCGATAGTTCGAAAAGCTTTGTGTCCCAGTCTGGTCAAAAATGGGTTCCACCGTCCACTCCACCCACGAATCTTCCTATAACCATGATACCCTCTGTTCAAACTGGGCAACAATTTGGTACTGCCGTGCAACAACAAAATCAGCCAGCACCACCAAGTTTACAACCCGCTCCATCATCCTTCAGAACTCAATATTGGTCACCATTTGGTACGGCTGCACAGCAACAGCAACAACCACCAGGTTTGAATCCTCATACATTGCCTGTTCCTTTTGGCGAACTGTTCGTTCATCCCACCCCGTTACAGCAACAGCCGCCACAGCAAGGTCAAAATGCACAGGGACAAGTAGGTTTTGGTATGAATATCGCTAGCAGGAATGAACAAATGGAACTCGCACGTAAAATTCAAGCGGAACAGGGTCGTGGAGGTAAACATTCAAAGAAGGATAAGGAGCCCAAGAAAGTACTTGGAATGGACAAGGAAACTGGAATTGGTAGGGGGAAGAAAGGAGGTAGAGGAAGAGGTAGAGGTAGAGGAAGAGATAGAAGTAGAGGGGAGGATCGAGGGAGCGGACAGAAAGAAGATGATAGTAGTGCTGGAGGAGGAGGAGGCGGCGGCGGAAGTAGTGGTGTTGCTGGTAATGAATGGGAGGATGAAATCTGAGATTGAATAAGTAATCATCAGCCATGACAAAGTACGCGGCCAAGAGGTCTTGACTCCTAGATATTTCTGATGATTTATATAATGATTTCGATTCCTCAACTGTAGGAGGGAGATTGAAAAGTTTGATGGGCCCAGGGGATGTATATTTGATTTATCTCTTCGGACAAGAACATGGGGGAACAGATTGGATATCTAGTTGAACATTTTTATTTTCTTATTAAATGATAGCTTTTGGTTCAATACAATTAATGCTAGCAAAGCGTGAAATATTTTCTACGGAAGTGAATGTGATGTTATCTGAATAAAGTCACTTTCACTGCTTGCTTGAGCTTTTTGTCTTTTTCTTCGATTAGTATGTTGAAGAACGGTTGGAAAAGCCTTGTGAAACTTTCAGCAAGATTGATTGATATCGTTTGAATGAATTAAATGTTACAATTTCCCACATAAAAGATTATACCAAACAGCGACATCCGAATGACTTTGCCCACATATCATTTGCTTTCCAATCCAGTCTAATTGTCTCAAACGTTATAGAAATACCTCCGGGACTCAATCCAACCAGTCTCTCAGAAGCACCCTTCGCCTTATTTTGCACCTCTACAAACTCAAAGCCCTCTGGACTCGTCTTTGATGTCTCTAGAAGCAAATCATATATAGCTCTAGAGTATTATGAATCGATATTCCAAAGCTGGGCAAGATATCCTATCTTGATAACCTTCGAGTCGACAAAACGCAACAGGCTTGCTGTATTCTGATGCAAATAATCTCTCTGCGTCTCATTCATTCGCTTAAGTTTTTGATCCTCTCGAAGCTGAAACCGATGCTATAAACCTCAACAGTATATAAATGCTTTAAACCCGACAATTAGATAAAATTTGAGATGTTGAGCTGTGTTATTATTTTATGGGAGAGATAACGTACAGATAAATTGATGTTGACTGAGAGGAGCTCACATCCATATATCAGAACTAGATTTTCTAAAGTCAAGAAAGTATCATATCAGGTGTAGAAAAAGAGTAATCAAAGAATGTGATTGTACAGACAGCAAACGTCAGATTGGTTTAAGTGCGAAATTTCATTCAAACAACGCTGATAGATAAAATATTCTAATATTCCCGGCAATTGTTGGGATATGTTTTCTGGAAGCACGCAAAAGTAACCATTCGAAGGTTCTCTCAAACCAGAATATATGATTGGGCTATCCCATAAAAGTCCTGCCTGAAACAAGTCCTTTCAAAGTAGTAAAGGTACTGATTTGAGGCAGCCTGTTGCCCAAGGTTCGAATCCTTGCCAGATACAATGGATCCATCGAAACCTGAACCTCTTCCCCCGAAGCGAATGTATCTAATCTTTCCTTGACTTTGCCGTTTTCCCCTTCAAATAATAGACTTCGTTATTTTTCTTCTATCAAATCTATATTCACTACCTCTTCTTTTATCGTTCTTTTTGACGATTGTATTTACTGCATCTCCATCATTTGTGTCGGATTTCGGGATCGGCAAGCTTGCCATTACGACAAGAAGCAGAATAGTCTTTTCGAGTGAGAGCTTCATATTGATAGCGAAGTCCCTCGAAGAACGCCAGATGCCAGTATTGGGAAGCTTCTCAAGAAGTACCGATCTTAGTTCCAAATCGCAGATGCCACATTTGCTCGTAGAAATCATCATTTGATGGCTCAGTAGGATATCGATGAATTGCCGTATTGTTTGAGTTTTTGGGTCGAAAGTCTCTTCATAGATGGTATCGCGCACATTGGTAACAAATGAGGGGTGTTGTGCGGGGTCCATTGCAACTAATTTATTCCAACTTCCCGTTATATCACCGGCTTGAATAAGCTCGACAATTGCAGCACGTTGAATTTCATTTATGGCGGAGTTGAGAATAGAGATTGCATAGCCTTTTCTTTTTATGTAGCTTTGGTATATTCTGCACTGTATATCGGAGTCTGTTTCTGCTGGTACCGCTACTATTGTTTCAGTGTCGTCGAGAAATCCCAGTGCGTTTGCTGCCGCCATAGCCATTACGACCGAGTTTTCGAAGAAGGGGTAGTTGGTGCCATTGAAAATTAAAACTGGACCCCACTTCGTCGAAACCGTATTTTCTTTCTTTGGTTGTTCCGAAGCCATTGAAATAGTTGTGTCAAGGTATTGTGATATCGATGATCAGGTCCTTATTGCTGGGTCATTGGAGTTTGCGGCGATGTGCTGATATCGTGAAAGAAGTTGGAGTGTAGAGTTCGAGGATACTGTCACTTCTTAAAAGTGTAGAAATTGTGCGTAAAGTGCATTTGTCATCATAAATTCACTATTTCTGAGAGAACAACCTTGGCGAATCACTTGATTTCAATATATTATGCTCATTACTCATTGATTGGAAAGGTTGAATATACTGGCACTCCATCACAAATGTAAAGAATTGGCAGCACGGAAAACACACTCGGACAAAATTCCTCACGGGAAGCGTCAACTCAAATATATGAATGAGAATCTTGATACCTATTAGTTATAGAATCAATTCAACTGAAAAAAGCAATTCGTTCTAATATTATTACTATACAATGTATCTGCGTATGTGAGATGCTTCTTGACCTCGTCCAGAATACCAATTCGTTCATACAAATAATATACATGAGCGTATATTGAAGCTTCTCACATGAAATCATAACTATATCTATCATGCGACCGAGCGATCGGATGGTGTTGGTGGTACAGGATGCATGAGCTTATCTTTGAGATGAGATAGAGCTTCTCTGACGCCGAGATGGTGCCCGTGATTGGAACTACTATTTCCGTCTTTTATATTTCTTTTTCCATGATAACTTGCTTTAGACTCAGAGTTACGTCGACGACGGGGATTGTAATCAACTGAATCAGTTGAAGGGTGATAAGAGTCCTGTGAGTTGGACTCTTTGCGATAATATGTATCACTTGGGTGCGAAGATATAGATCGACGTCTACCAGTTGTAGAGCTTGACATCGGTACTGGAACTGGTTCGGCAGTCTGTGGTGGAAGAGGTTGACCGTTTGCCATAGTCGGAACGACTTGAGGATATTGAGGTACAGCCACTACCTGGGGAGGATTTACAGGTGGCATTACGTAACCTCCAGGTGGAAGAGCACCGACTGTTGGATAGATTGGTGGTGCTGCTGATGATAATTGAGGCACTGATGATCGTCGCGAATGACCTTGTTGAGCATGTATAGGTGGCTCCATGTACTCACCTACTCTAGGCTCATACATAGCTGGATTTGTTGTCTTGTTGGACAGCGGGTAATCTTCGAAAGACACATTTCTTTCACGGGGGCGTCTATGATCATAATAGTGCTGTCCTCTATGCCATGAACTTTTTCGAGATACTAAACGGGGACGTCTAGGATTTCGGTGATGACATTGCTGCCGATGATGATGATGATGCGGATGTTCTGAAAGTACACCTATAATCTTAAGGGTAGGTTTCGATTCAAAATCTACTATCTGAATATTTTCGCCAGGTTGTACTCTCATTATCGTCAAGTTGCTTGGTAACCCTCTATCTTGCATGGGCAGTTTCCTTTCGGCTTCTTGGATGGTTCTGAAAACTCCAGATGCATGAGCAGCTTTCAGTAAGTTAGTGACAAATTACATAATTGTGTAGTGAGCCATTTCACTTACGAATGATTGGCTGGAACAGTAAATTTTTCTTATGACCTCCATGTAACATTTGCAAGAGACGTAATGATGCTTTTGAGGCAGTCCAATTGCCATGCTTGTTGCTTACATACATTTGCTGTAGACGATTCAGCACTCTGTTATTGTTATTTGTTGGCATAATCTCCCAAAGAAAGAAACTTTGGGAACGGTGGCGAAGATTGACATCTCTAAACCTCACTGTTCTGTTGGTGGATAGTTTTGGATTTATTGTACCCCAGCGTCCAACCCAGGGATCTTTTGAGCCGGATATATAAGCACTAACTTTCTACCAAACTGTTAGCAAATTACAACGTGGAATAAGATGAATAAGCAATTAATTACAGTATTGTCATTTCCTAAGGGACGTATAGGTACGTCTCTCGTTGTTCTCGTTTGGAAAATAATATATAATGTATTTGGTTTCAAAACCCGTAGTGAAGTCATGGTGTTGGTTGAATAAAGATTATTGATGAGGTATGATTGCACTATGTTGAGAATAAAATCTATTGGAGATGGGCATCTTCTCTATTATAATTGATTGACCGAAGATATGACGCAACGCTTGAGGACAGGAATGGTAGGGTGTGGTCTAGTGTGTGCATTCCAACTGGATTTACTGACAGCCTGAGTGACGTAGAAAGGACAGATGGTCTAAGAAAGGGCCTCACAGCCTCTGAACGAGCAAATTAACAAGTGCCTACCATCAATTCCAACAAGCAGGTTGAAGGTAGTTTAGCAGCCATGGCTGCGACCAGAATCTAGACTGTAGATAAGCGAGCGACTGTATGAGGTCGGCCGGAACCACACCTTTGGTTTGAGATTGCCATGCCAGGGAGAAAACTGAGTTGCTGTGCTTCTTGAATTGACATATGGAATCGAAAGGCTTCTTAAATCCCCCAATCTGTAAATTTGTGTACTAATTATACTAGAGTTTATTGTAGTCATAATTCAACTGTATGTAGCTCACGAAAACACATGTATTAATTAAAATACTTGCTTGTTTATTAGCGACACCAATAGGATGGGGACAAAAAGAAGATGCTGCATTAAGCACTCGATTTTGGCAATTGAGGCAGGAACTACCTGTCCTCATTCTCAGCTGACCCTTCCACGATACCGTTTCAAAATGTGATTTGAAGAAGGCAAATTGAATTAGAAAATGGATATCTAGAACTGGAAATGTAACGAGGGAAAATTGAGAGCAATTGACTGTTCAAATTCTCTCAAGACTTGTAGCGGAAACTTGTAGCGCTTGCGAGAGATACTACTCTTTTAGAAAAGAAACCTTTGGAGGCCATGGTTTGTCGTACGCAGAGAGTACTACTCTGTATTTTGCACCAGCCTTTGCTCAAATATCTCCAGAGCGACGACGATACTAGGTAGATATTGTCGACATTACGTCAAATTATCAATCTCCTCGTTTGTATACTCTTCTCGAAAGTGGGATGGAAAATCCGATATGCACGATAAACATGGTGATATTACACTGCATATGCGGGGATGCCAGCCACAAACTTCGCCTCAACGACTTTTCCAGCTCTGAACTGAGGCAGTGCATCATACAGACATTCTTACCATCAATTGTACCGTAAGATTTTGGTTTTTAAAAATCTTCCCTCCTTGAATATTCGAAACCTTTCAATTCCAAATCGTGGAATTCTGGAGCGGGGAGAGAGATAAACAAGCGCAATTGAATTGGCGACATCTAGGGCCCATATCACAATGGCGGGCGCAGTAGATGATGGATGGACAATGGTGATCGGACAACCCGCCAGTGAAATTCGCGAGGAAAAGCAAATTGAAGAATGGGAGCGCTCGAAAGGAGGATGGTCTGGATTTGGCAAACATCCTCAGAATTGGACGGATCATAAGAAATTACACCTATCATCAGAAAGAGAATTAGGCTCTGGAAGCTATGGGCTGGTGCAGCGCGTTACATATGGTGCCGTTACCATGGCCCGCAAACAGTGAGCATCGTCTCCAATACCCCGGTTCTATGACTCCATAAGGCTGATTTGTATATCTCAGCGTGATACCTCGTGGTGGAATGACGGTCGAAAAGCTCCGGGAGGAAGCTAATGCCATGGAGGAATTGGCGCATAAACATATTTTGAAGCTGGTCGGCACATATACGTACAAGCGCAAAAATCTATATCTCCTTCTTTACCCGGCGGCAACATGCGATCTGAGCACTTTCCTCGATGATATAGATGGCCTTCGTTCCGATACGTGTGCGGATAGAGATGATGCGATGAAACGGCTTTTTGCTCTCGGACTCAAGGATATTGGAAAGATTGACGATTTGTGCATGTTGAGACGACCGATTCTCCCTTCGGATCATCCGACGCACATAAAAAGGACGGAAACCGCGCTAGGATTTTTACAACAGCTTATGGGATGTGTTACAGAGGCATTGTTGTTTGTTCATGAAAAAGGTATTCGGCATCGGGATTTAAAGCCCAAGAATATTTTACTAAGTCCCGGCCGGGTATACCTCGCCGATTTCGGTATCGCGAGAGATGTCAAAGATTCGGACAACAGCATAACCTGTGGAAGATATGGTACTGCGTCTTGGATAGCTCCGGAGGTTTATGATGGGGAATATCATCATATGTCAAGTGCAGATGTCTTTTCCCTGGGTTGTATATTCCTCAATATTGCAACAGTATTGTATGGAGATTCAATTGAATTAGCGACATTTGACGAAGTAATGAAGGAGAAGGAATGGCCAATGAAGTATAAGATGTTATCAAAACATCTAAATAAATTAAAGGACAAGGCAATTAGAGCAGCCTTAGCTGATGAAGAAGAGCCAAATTTCGATGCCAAGAATATACTCGGCCTGGTGGAGAAAATGTTGTTATATGAACCGGAACAACGACCTTCAGTAAAGGAAGTTAACGAACGGTTATGCGAGCTTGGGGGCCTAGATCAAATCTATCATCTATCTTGCTGTCACAAAAAGAACGACGTAATGTCTCGATCAATAAGTGAGTCCTTTCTATGCACCTCCCAACCAAAACCCACTAATCATATAACCAGATACCAAAATGAGAACCATCTCCGAAAGCAGTCTATCATCAAAAAGCAGAATCTCCGAACTAGAAACCGAAAACATGACCTTGAGAGAACGTCTCGCAACTCTCCAAAACAAAGACCAAACCTACGAATTACGAATCGAACACGAACGCAACCACGCAAAGAAACAAAACGACGTCCTCAAAGAACGCTATGAAAAACAGTTAAAAGCACAAACCGAAGCCCTGATGCGCGCAGAAGAACGCATCAAAACCCTCGAATCAAATAACCCCCACAAACGCCGACCATCACACACCCGAGGCCGCGGTCGCAATGCCCCCTACGGGACACCTCATCCAACCAACACCCTCAATATCAACAATCTCGCCGTCCACACCAACTCCAGCATCTCCATGCAATCTTCATCTCCATCCCCCTCCCCCTCCTCCAATTCAAACTCCAACTCCAATCCAAACTCCAACTCCAACTCCAACCCCAACCCCAACCCCAAATCCAACCTACCCCGCACCCCAGAAAGCTACTTCCCCCTCCCACCCCCAAACCCCAGTTTCACCAACCTGAAAGACCCCTCCCTGTCTCTCACCCTGCACCGTCGTCCCTCGGGCATCCCCATCCCCACCCGCTCCCCCACCCCCATCACCACCCCACACAAATCACACTTCCCACCGCCCACCAGCAATGGTAGTCGACCCGGAAGCGGAAACTCCACACTAGTCAGTAGCACCCACTCCGTCTTTTCCATCAAGAGTAAAATGTCGGATACGGATGGGAGCGTGACGCCGGTGGAGAGTCCAGGGGAAACGATGAGTTTACCTGGGAGTCCGGGTTGTGGGGGGAGAGGAAAGATGGGAGAGGGGGAGGAAAGAGAGGGGATGGGTGGAGGGTTGGGAGATGGTAGGAGGATGAAAATTGGAAGTGATGGGAGGGAGAAGGAATTGGAAAAGCAAAAGGAGAAGGAAAAGGAAAAGGAAAAAGAAAGAACGATTAAACCGACATGGGCACGAATGGTGAGGGGGAAGACTTGAGAAATGGATATACCACATATATATATATATATATATACAGATACAAATGAATAAAGAAAGACATTAAACAAAACTTCACAAAACTCCAAGCTAGATAATCTCTTCTAATATTGTAGAGCCTGTGAGGAAATCCTCGTTTCGAGAGTTTTGCGAAAGGGGTTTGCATGTCATCAAAGTTGCGTGTTTTTTTTTTCATTACATCCAAGCCTACCTAGTCACAGTCACACATACATACATACATACAAACCCATACACATACACATACACTAACACAATACCTTCCCGAAGAAAATCTCATCCAGGAATTGATCGCGACCGCCAGCGATCACATTCATTTCATTGAACAACTTTTATATACATACATGAATAAATACAGAAACCCTTACCTTCACCCTCCACCCTTCATTTCGCATAATAGCCAGCAATATCATTAATCCATCTTCTTCTTCCCCTTTCATTTCGTTCCTAGCAAATTCAAAGCAATTTCCATCCGCCTCTCAATTTTCACCTAGAACTTCACCACACCTGAATATAATTACATGTCACCTCTCCTCTCTACTTCGTACTGCTCTTCTTCTTTCCCTTCTTCTTACTCTTCTTTTTACTATGACCCTTCGAACTACCAACACCACTTCCACTATCCGCCCCCGTATTATCTGTCTGACTAGATCTCTGACTCTTCCTCTCTCCATCAGCCAATTTATCCGTGCTTCCTGCATTACTCAAAAATTGCATAAACTTATTTTCTCCGCCATTAGCACTCTTGCTTCCACTACCAGTACTACTTGAGTGTAGTACTCTACCATCTTTATGATTTTCTTCTTCACTACTTGCGTTTGTCTCCAAGACCATCTTTCTAATACCACCAGCTTCTACCAAGTTTTCTGTGATACTTCCACTTCTAGCTGTACTTCTCTTCTTGGATGGCTTGGATAGTTTGATTGGAGGACTCGTACCGCTCTTTTGAGATGGTAGAGATCCGACGGTATCTGTGCTTTTATTTTTGTTGAAAAAGTTGGAAATCGAAAGATTGTTACCAGGCGATTGTGGTTGCCCTACTGGACTGAGTGGACCATCATATTGGGGTGGTTTGGTCGAGTCATCCTCGGCAAGTTTATTAGAAGGAATGCGATTGCTTAAAGTCCCATAACCTTGTTGCAAAGCTTGAACTCCATCTTTGGCGTCTTGTCCGGCTGATCTGAGTAACCCTTCACCTTCACCACCATGAAGTCCTGGAGAGTCATGGTATGGCTCAAACTCAGGCTCCTCGACAATAGATCCACGATGAGGAATCGAGTCCGTTCTAGAATCGGTCCTATTACCAGCAAAAACATTTCCAGGCTTAATCTTGACAGACTGATACTTTGTCATCTTTGGTCGACTAGCAAGATTGGATGGGCCCAGATGTTTCAAGTGTTCACGCATATCATTCATATTAGCTCTGACGGCAACGACATTTCTGTCGTTGTCACCTGTTGAGACTCTACGCATGAAAGTTGTCTTGGGGCTAGTACCGAAACGATTGGCAGGGCTGGCGCTTCTGACCTCGGTTTGATTGCGTCTTCTACCGCCAGCATGCAAATTACTTGGACGGTCTTCCGAGAGATCGATGAGACTGTCCTCGGCAGCTTTAAGAGAACCATTGGCCGGTTGTTCAACGACTTGATTTGGCTTGATTCTTGAAGATTTGGGAGCTGGGGCCATTCGTCTGATGGCTTTGTGAACATCAATATAAACATCAGACTCATCAATAATTTCCCTATCGTTTGTTAGATCCGTGCAAGTAGAGAGCGACAATTTACACTTACTCTCCAATGAGCTCTTCAATGACATCTTCTAATGTAACCACACCGGCAGCACCAAAGTTCTCGCCAGGATATTCCGAAACAAGTACCATGTGAGATTTTCCTTCTTGGAAGAAATTTACAATGTCCAAGCAACTAGTTTCAGGTCGAGTCTCCGGTAAGGTAGCCAAGGCGAAATCACTGACACGTTTACAGTCTTCCGGATCGTATGTGATAAGAATCTTAACCAGAAGCATGCCGACAAAGTTCTTTTCATTTCCAGGTTCGTAAATAGGAATGCGAGAATAACCAGCACTCAAAATGACGTTCATGGTATCCTCATCAAGTATCGTGTCGGCACTCATAGTGAAGACATCATCCATTGGTGTCATGATATCTCCGACTGCTTTTTCTTTCAAGTCCAACACTGCACTGATGATTGTAACTTCATCTTGGTTCAATCGATCGCTAGGGCTTGTTCCTAAAGTTTTGTGTAAAGTCACAAGTGTCTTTAGACCAGATTTCTTGTATACGGTTCCGTGATCCTCTCCAAGTAGTTTGTCGAGAAGTTTCGCAGTTGGCCATGCAACAGGTGCTAATAGCCACATTAGACCCAGCACAGGTGGTGCCATAAATGCTCCGATGGATAGACCATATCGCACACAAATCGATTGAGGAATGACTTCTCCGAAGATAACTAAAGCAAATCAACACACACTCCATCAATGCGACAACTACACAACATACCAATTAGGACTGTACTACCAAGAACCGCAGGCCATCCTCCACCGAGCGATCGATCGAGTACGATAGGAAGCGTTTCGTTGACGATGACATTGCTGAGTAGTAATGTCACAAGAACCCAATGTTTACCCTTTTGTAATAATCCATATACCCTTTGTGCATGTCTCTGTTCCTTTCCTTCTCCTGAAGTCGCGATGACTTGTAAATAAACGCCATCTTGTCCCATCAATCTGGATGAAAATTTCTATTAGTATTGAAACTTTGTGAACTTCCATTGAACACTCACGCAATCGTCAATCCCGCGAAAGCACCTCCAAGGAGAACCAGGACAGCCGCGACTGATAGATATAACCACAAACTCGCATCTTCGGCATCTTTTGGCGCATCCTCTTCACTGGCAATTCCAAGGAAAGCTGTAATAGGAGCGGCAGATACTGAAGTGATTTGGCAGATACTCAAGAACAGAATCTTCGCCAGGCCCAGGATGGCAGGTCTTGTCGAAGTGTAGCCATTGCTGATGAAGCTTGAGCGAGTACTTCCGACAATCGATTTCGAGGTCATCTCAACTCGATCTATAATTTGTGATGTATTCTCCAATGATCACTGTCCACGACAGTAATTCAATTGGGTCCAGCTCCCTGTATTTTACTCTGTAGTGTGGTTAAAAGAGGTGGAGCTTTTTTTCGAGATTCTTTCGGGGTCTTGTTACTTATTCAAGACGGAGTACTGGGATGATCCGAAGGTTCCCGGCCGTCGATGTGGATATTACTACCCGGGCAAGCAATGAGGGATAAAAGTGGCAGGTTGGTGTAATTATCACGACATCAATGTGGAAGGAGGTTTGTGAAGTGAAGGAGAAGGTCGAATTGTAATTAAGTACACGGCAGTTTAATATGGACAAGACTCATAAGGTTACTCGTAAAGGATTCCTATATTAATGTACTGAAGTGTGGTTGTGGTTGTGGTTGGTGTTGCGTGAAGTTCAATCATTCAGCCAGTCAGTCTGGACAAGCAAAACAAAGAAAAGATACCTACCTTGGGAAATGTCCTAATGAGGGTTAAGGTGCCAGGGGGGTATCTCTTCCAGCCAATAAGATCAGCTATTGACACATATGACGATGGTCAAGCTCCACATAAATCAGATATTCCTTGGTATCACTCTTCACTACAATTCACTAAAATCACGCTTCACTACGAAGTACGTATAGGGAGTATTCACAGGAGAAAAAGAAGACCAGAATTAATGGATCACTGTCGACTACAGTATTTCAACTCTGAGAATTGTAAATTATAAAGCACAAATAGGATTACGCCTAAACAGCATCTAGAGATTTATTTAATACTATTAATCCTTAAAAGTTGATGTGTGGTTGATTTGTTATGGAATATATCAAGGTAATCAATTCTGGTCTCTTCTCTTTCTTCTCCTACCTACTCTGTATGTTTATATTCTACCCCGTACCGGTATATCGCATACAATTTCTCCTTTTTCCATTTCTGTCTTCTGCTTTTTTGAGGTTTCACTAGAAGCACACTACGCTATTCGATCAATTATATCATCACTACCAATACCTCGAGCAATACCTACCAATCCCAATACCCACTACCAACCAATCAGTCAGTGCTTACGTCATTAGTGTGCATCCATATCCTCAACGTCCATATGGTCGAAATCTTCCCCCAAGTAAAATCTTACATTCATCTGCGTACTTTCCCGATATGCTCTTTGATTCGTAGCAAAAGCTTTATATCACATCACTTATCAATCATGTATTTGGATCTGACTGCATATTATCTCTTGTTGTCCGTCATGAGTACATACCTGCTGCCTTCAAAGTTTGACATGAAGTGAGAAATCGATCAACCTGCATATCATCCATCCTCAACTGTTTCCCGGAATACTCTTGGACTGAGTTGATTATCAAAAGGTACTCATTTCTCTCTCTTGCACCAGGATGAAGACTAGTACTCATTTCTCTCTCTTGCTCCAAGATGAAGACTAGGATGACAAGTTGAGATAATGCGCATACCGAAGAGTTGAAGAGAATATGAGCATATATTTTCGTCTTGGCAAAACCTCAATCTTCCTTCTGAGATAGGGAGATGGCAATACTAAGAGCTGAGGTTATTCCCGCGAGATCCTTATGTTGTATGAAATCTGATAGATCAGGTTTTACAAAGTCTCATCGGCCACAAAGATTCTCTGAAATCATAGCGACCTCGGGCTACACTAAAATCAAAGCGTATGAAGTTTCATGGCACATGTGAATTTTGACACTTTGCCCACAATTCACATGGAAAGTCGTTCCATACAATGTACCTAGACTTTTGAATAATTCAAACACTTCTTCCGGATTAAAGTTGAGGTAGCAAATCCTTTTATTTGAAACATCGGGGTACACTACTTTCAATCTGATTTTCTTCCTCGCATCCCTTTTGGATTTTACTTCTCTCACGTTATCCGAAAGCTCTGCGTTTCGGAACAAAATCACTACAATATCATAACGTAATTCCTCGCCGAAGTTTCGGAGAATTTGATCATGCAAGACTATTTACGGCGAGAATAGACTCGGTCATCATGATCCTGGGACACAGAAACTCGTATCATGTTCATGTTTTAGTTTTCTCTCTCACTTTAAAGACTATCTCTCAGGCGATGCCCCTTGGAGATGTACAAGCATTTGGTAGCATTGGGAATACGCACGTTGTTCACGGCACCCGGTAAACTCATAAGCGTCGAGAGCCTCATTGTACCGTTTCTGTCCAATCAATCACAATATTGGCCACGACATTAGCGTTCGCGCAACACTTTGTGTTCCACGCGGGATGTTACATATGTTCACGTTATCAATCATGCATTGTCCAACCGAGATAGCGATATCACTAAAGTCCCCATGGTTAAAGTTACATCCCGTGATGATTCAATATTTACACAAAATTGACCACAAGTTTGATAGCTTTCGTCCTCACACGCAATTTGAGTATATCTCGTATTTGATTCTTTCCGACATAACTCGACTATCTCGTATATTCATTGCCATTAGCTTGCGCCAATCGAAAGATGCTTCTCGCGTGCTCCTAACGCCACCATGGCTCCGAACCCCGCAAATAGACAATATATCCCATCACCAATCAATTAGCAAAAGCATCTTTGACCACTTCCTGGTCCTACCTCTCTTAGCTCTCAGGCATCAGTTGTTATGATCTGCGGTTACAGAAGGATATCAAAACGTGCTGGCCAAGATTACTTTGAGCCGGTGTTTGTCTTGTTGAGACTATTCGCTTCGGCAGTGTCCCTAGCCACTATTTCAGCCAAGATTTCGGCATGCGATGTCTGATCATCACTCAAAGTCAGTAATCGTCTCAATCCTTGCTCTCTTCGCATCATAAACTGGGCAGTTCGGGGATTGATATGCTTTGAGTTCTGGCCCCTTGACATTGAATCGCCATGTTCAAATCCAGCTTCTGACTCGTCCTGAAATTGGGATCGATAATTTCTTCGTCGCCTAAACAATGTCATAGGGGCTTTTTCCATGGTGCCTTTTCCTTCAAAAACTTCTTCACGTGTTTCTTTCATGGTGGGACTATCCACTAGGTTGCTGGTCAACGTGCGGTGCTTGGTTTTAGCAGCTTTCTTTGATTTGTTAGGACGGAAAAATGAGGAAACACGTTGTTTGTATTTGTCATTGGACTCCGTGATATCAGCAAGGCTGAAATCGTAAAGAATGGTAGTCGCTGACTCGACGCTTTGGGATTGGTTTTCCGAAGGAGCCATTGCTTCGATATCAAAGTTGAAATTGTTAATTATTTGATTTGTCGTTGATGAATTGAGACAGATCTAGATTTGAAGACTGGAAGTATCTTGCAGATGAAGAACTGTTAATGTGAGAGAAAGTGTTGTGCTATTGAGTATCTGAGAGAAAACTTTATAGATATTAACACTGACTGGCTGGACCGTATGAACGTCTAGCCTCATTGCCCGTACTAAAAACACGGCCCAAATTGTTTTGATTGTTCAAGTGTGCAGCCTGTCAATGGGGAAAAAACAGTAGCCGTAGTTGGTTCCTACCGTATTCCCAAATCATTTTGCACCAAAGACGTACCTGGAATATAGACAATGTCTCTTTACGAAATGGAATCATCCCTTAGGACTAGCCCAATATCTTGGAATCTTGCTCATGAGAGGCGAATTTCAAAAATGCGCTTTACGAGGAAATGTCGCTTGTGAGTGAAATTTTCGCTTGATTGGGGTTCATGAGAGGAGGGGCTCAATTTCTGTGTCCTGTTTGTAGATTATACGGAAAAGTTTATTGATACTCGTTATGTATGGAAAGCAGGGTGGAATAGTCGTATTTCTATATTTACACTATTTTTCGACTATATTGGTCACGGGTAAATACTTCATTCAAATGTCTATTACTGAGTCTCGATACCCCAGAACTAACATCACTGTAATGATTACTGAATGTCTGTCATAATTTGAAGGTATGGCTATAATATTTCATTGCTGTGCCCAAATCTAGTTCAAGTGTTCTATTAAAGTGTTTCTATGCAATTACATCTGAAGAAGAAAAAATCATATTATCAATCGGAACCCATTAAACAATATAATCTCAAATTCCAACACCCAATATCTCGCTTCCCTGCAATCCAACAATACTCAACCCCACAATTGGCATTTAAGAATGCTTCCTCATGAATATAGGATGGCATCGATCAACCTCAGCCCGCAAAGCCTTGGTCGCACGCCAGATGTACAACTCAATGACTTTATCCGAGAGATCATACTTGTTATTCTCCCTCAGAAACTTTTCATGTCCATTCACCAAGAAATTCCTCGTCGGTGACACGTTCAGATCCTTCCACTCCGGAGTAAATCGAAGTCGAGTAATCCCTCTGCTGACCAGCTCATCGGTATGCGCATACCAATATGCTTCGGCTTTTAGGATATTATCTTCGATCATATTGGCCCATTTAACGATTTCCTTAGATGTTGCTGCTTCTTCGGCTGTCTTGGCGCCAAGTGGAATTAATAGAGGAAGCTCGAAACAGAGAAGTCTCTTGTTGTACGCGTACTCTGCATATCCGGTCTCTGGGACGAAGTATTTCTTGACACATGCGTTGCATATACAAGTGAATTTCCATCTTTCAGAAATATTCGTCGCTCGAAAAGAATAGGTGCCATAAACACCATAATTAATGGTGATTTCCTCTCCTCTCTTGATATCCCGTATAGCTCGTATCGAAATACTGTGCTCAGAATTGAACGCACGAGAACAGTTGGGTACACAAGCATGATTAATCCGACATGCTTTATCGTAGATACAATTGTTATTAGTTGTATCGCCAAGTTGAAGAAAAGGATTCATCTCGAAGGAATTAACAGCCCAGCGTTTCATCAGTGGTGTCTCGAGACAAAGTTCGGGGCTCTTTCCGCAAATGCACATTTTGGAAAGAGAATCAACGGCTGCCTTTTTGGAGAACGGAAGCATGTTGTATGCTGCTTCGCGGCCGGGCCAGGTAGGTCCCCCGAGAACGAGAGGCGCTTCGCGCAGGATCTCGGTGTTCTTGGAGATGATCTCGGTGGCGAACATGCCGAGTTCTTTTCCTCTCATGGTGGGTTTGAGCTCGAAGAGATGGGGGGAGAAGGATTTTTGGGGGTGTGTTAGTTGGGGTTTAGATTTGAGGAAGTGGATGGGAGGAGATTAGATGCTTACCTCGGACCGCCTTCTCTTGAAGTATTTCTGTTGGTATCAACTTGGTTGATAAGTGTAAAGTACTTTAGTCTGTTATGGTTGTATTCGTTCTTGATTATTATTATTTATGGGAAACTAGTATTTAATATAATAGAAGTGCTAGTGCTAGTGTATACGCTAGTGCAATACAATGTCTTCTTTAGATTACATAATCGATATCCCGATAATTTCCTTTCTTGGAGCAGGACCAGCATTTCCATTCGTTCCTGCGTCTTCATCCTCGAATGGCTTGAACTTGTCGTTATCCGTACTTCCAGTGACGAGTTCCTCATTACGTCTTTGTTGGGATAAGATTTTCCCATTGTCCCTACTCATCTCGACATCTCCGCCCTGTTTCTCGACAATGGCTTTCCTACTTTCTACGGCTACGAGTGTAGCTCCTCGGGCCGACTGAGTTGCAGAAGTCTCTGCTGCGTCTGCGGCTGCGGCTTCTCGATCTCGTCTAATGGCACCGAAGACCGAGTTCATACTCTGGACGTCGTTGGTGGTGATCACAATGATGTTTCCGAATAGTTCGGAGAGGCGATCCATGTCGTTGAGTTTATTTGAGGAAGGCATTTTTGAATTAGACCATTGCTGAGATGGGCTGGGGGAATAATTCGTATCTAAATTGATCGAAATAGGATAAATAATACAACTTACTACTAAGGTTCGAGGTAATAATTGTAAGTGTTTGTGATGTATTGAAGAGATTTTTTGAGTGCGAATGTTATTGAGAAGATTATAAAGTTATTTTTTCTTTTATCTTGGGTGTGAGATATCTTGAGATTTCTTCAGATGATTAGGATGTTGGATCTGTGTAGATGTTGTTTGTAACAGAATAAATTTAAACGGTGCTGAGAGATCTATTTATGTATGCATGCGAGATGTTCTTAAAGTTTCAATACGGTATGATGTTACAGCTTCATCACACTCGAATCTTTGAGAATCTTTTCTACGGTCGTACATGACATGACGAACTTTTAGTAGTGGTACTGGATTTGAGAGAAAGTCAGTGAGTGCCTCCCAGAGAAATTCTGGTAACGAGGTAAGAGTTCTGGCCCCTGCTCATGGTATATATAACACTTTTCCAGCTAAAATATAGGATTATTCAACTTTTTATACCCTAGTTTATTTTTTATTATAAAAAATGAAATTAAATATTCTTTTAAAAAATATTGTTTAATTAATCAAATTTTATAAAAAAAAATGAATAGAATTTTTTTTTCTAATTTTTTAAATAGAATTTGAAAGGGTTAAAATTGAAAATTCTAAATTTTGATAAAAACTTGCTTATTTTATATAGAAAAAATATTACATATTAGAATTTTTAGAAAAATTCAATTTCAATACTATATAACTAATTAATAAAAATAATTAAAAATATTTCGAATAATTTTATATATTTCAATTCTTATAATTTATCATTTTCAATTTTCTGAAAAAAAAAATATAAAGATTTAAATAAAATATTTAATATAATAATTTGTATAGGAAAACCTCATTTTTGCGGGGATTTTGTTACATTTGTTATAGGGGTGTGGTGAGCAGGGGCCAGAACTCTTACTATAGACGATTCGAAGATGCTGGTATAGTTTGCGGGGCTTTACGAGTCGACGATGTCGATAGATTAGAGGGGAATTTATTGTATAGGATGATCATATAGATTAAGGAGACGCAATGTAGGAAAGTTTCTTCCTCGTGAGAGGGGGTATAGATAGGTATAGCCTCCGAACATTTTTATATAGGTACTTGTTGTGGAATCAGACGGCTACTTATTCGCTCTCATTGTGTATCTTTTTCATTTTCGTTTCTTCGTCTTTCCTCTTGTCTTTAGAATTGTATTAAAGATTTCGATGCTATAACCGCAGGTGCGTAGGGCTCTAAACTTACTAGGTATGTATCTGTTGAGAAGTTTGATCAATTTCGAATTGATCATTCTAGTTCAGATATTGGAGTGAGAACTTCTGATTCAGAGTATGAGATATCTTGTTGGTATTGAAGACGTGATAAATCTAATTGGGCGTCGATTATTGTATGGGATTGTGAAAATAAGTTGATATATTGCTATTCTGCATGTCTTATTGAAAATCGAATATTTTCAAACACTCCCCCCCCCATGACGTGATATAGTTGTTGACTTTCGAAAATAGTAAAAACGATATTTTGGACTGTTTCAATTTGTTCTTATACTCACCGATAGCCTTGACTAGGTAGGGAGAGTTCAATAATCTCATAAAAGTTGATATCATACTAGCCATTGATATATGATTTGTGAATTATTTAAAATACAAGATATAGTAGTCCTGGTGGTCAGAAAATTTGACAGTCAAGATTCTACTCAAAGAGAAGTTCTGTATCTATTTATGGATGTGCTCTAGCAGGTAAGATTGTAAATATTCAAACATTGATCTTTATTTACTTGCTAGTTTGACAATCTTATCTGGGAGCCAGTTGCATAAGTGTATGAATTGAAATTGCTTTGCTGAAGTCGAATTATATGATTGAATAGATAGATGACATTCAGCCATCTCATCATGGGATTTTCTTCCGAGGTGCCATGTATTGAGGAGAATCTCATGACCTTCATCAAATAGCTGGATATGTTTATTTTCAAACGCATTTGGTCTTCTATATCAGGTTGGTGATTTGCCTGACTAGATTCTGCCTTATGTCTAGTCTAGTGTTGGGAAAGTAGCAAATTCGAACAAACCTCAAACGAAAACGGCAAGAAATTTCGGGCCAGAAGGATTTTGTGTTGAGCATTGTTTGGATTATTTTCAGATGATCGAAGCATAGTTTCCTAGTCCCATGATAGATTTTAATCCATGGATACTAAATCTCTGGAGATAGCTTTCTCGAGTGATCAGGCCAGCTTCCTTTTTGTTCGTTTTCAGATTATCAGACAGAAAAAAGAACTAAGGTTTTGTCAAATGAAATAGCTACTTGCTTTTTTAAACGAGAAAAGAATATAGCAGCTTAAATGAAGTCCCAACTCAGTCAGCTGCGATATTTTCGCCTAATGATCAATCGCACTATTACTTGAGGTTTAGCTCGAGCTTGATGACCGCTATTGTGATCAAGGTCCGGGTTTTGAGTGGCGTACATGTCAAAAGGTAATAGTTGTGCATAATTGAGATGCGCTGTTGAGATTGTATCATATCCAAGCGTGATGGGGATCAATTCGAAGATGCATGTCCAGGAATTGGTAATAGATATTTTATGATCATCCGGTAGATGTTTGAATAAGAATGAAGAAGCATTTTTTGGAAGCTCGATCGACTAACCTTTGATCTCGGCTTCGAGTTATGCATCTTACCCAATTTCCTACCAGAATCAGACTTATGTCCGTTGTCTTTTGAGGTCTTCGCTTGACTATTCTTGAACCAGATATAAAAAGCTCGTTCTTATGTGATGTGGTGTTCTCCATAAATGCTAAATATTAATTTCCTAACCTGTAACATTGGATCAGATAGAGGAAAACACTCAAAAACTCAGGAATCAAGATCTAGTCTACAGAAATGTTTCGGGGCAGGAAGACACTGGTCGTCAATGTCCAGTCAATCAGCGTGACTTAAATTCGAGACAGTATCAGAGACATGTAACTCTAGCTTTCAGCTTCTGAGACAGATCTGAATGTTCAAAAGCAACGTAGATTAGATTTTGCATATTCAGCAATGCTCAGTGAGAAAAACTTAACCCGGGTTGAGGTTGCGTTCTTCGAGCTTCCCTGGTGATTGTAGTTCTTTTTGTATATGGCAACCCCATTTTTTCAAGCATGTATTTTACCAATTTTGAATAGAACATGTTCTCCTACTAAATCTGAGGATAGTCCTCAATCTTCAAGTGAGTTATTAGAGGTGATGAGATAGATATCAACAGAAATTCATTTCACTCCGCCTCTGACGTTGGAATTATAAACGCATTAGATATCATCAAGTGAATGCTGTTACCCCAATTTTCTTTCGTTCGCTATTATATAACTTGCAGGTCTCTGGATCTAAGAACATCAACTAAGCTCAATGGAAACGATACGATCCACATGTGGAGTTTTGAAGATTTCTGGTTTTGAGATCAACCCCTCATACAAGATCCATCCCCTGAGTCCAGTCGGATCTGGTAGTATCAGCAGAGCATGACGATAGTTGACTGATATGAAGAGACAGTATACTGACAACGACAAGAATTTCAGATGAAATACGATTTCCACTGTCAATTTGACATTCAAATGCATTATTGTGACTAATATCTCGACTCATTTACTCATAGTTGTTGTTATCCAAGACTGAGCTCTAAATCTACCCAACAGCTTTTCATCAAATTTTGCTAAAAGTAAGAAATTTGATGGGAGCGCGAGATCGATTATCCATAGCGACTTCAGAGAAGTATAAATAGTGCCGGAGAGAAAATACAGTTCCATGTGCCGCCCGTTGAGATCAGGGAAAATACTCTGCCTTTCCATAAACCCTTTGAAGTCAATCTTATTACTTAAATACTGGCCAGCTTTCTGTCTCTCGATCCAGAGATCCGATCTTGTGGATTTCTGATTCTGTCATGTGCCAATCAGAAAATCAGTGAATTGATTCATTACCTCTCTGTATTAAATAAATAAGTGAGTCTCTAGCTTTCAAGTTAATGAGGTGTAGACACAGATCAAGGTCTCTCATGGTCATTCAAGAAGGGCGTAATATAAAAGTGATAGTCAAGGGGGGCTTAGAATGAACAATAGACCAAATTCCAGCAATATACCTTCCTGAAGTATGTCTGTGGAGTGAAGATTGTTACAAAGATTATCTCCAAAAGGGTTCGGACGATATGAGCACAAGCGTGCTAATAGTTTAGGAATCTGGAGTAAAGCATGTTTGAGAAACAACAGCAACAAAGAAAAAGTCGACAATCAAAATATCTAAAAGACAACAACAAGAAAGACCAAGAAAACATCAGACAACATCATTCTCGCAGGAAATTTCTCCCTCCTGGAAACGAATTTCTGATCGTATTTAATTTTTCACGACTTTGACTATCCTTGTCTGCAGTTGCTATCCTAGTCTTCAGGCAACTGTAGACAAACGTAAGTGGAAATTGCGAGAATTCCACTGATTGAGATGTTGAGCAAAATCACCTACCTTTGATCTCTTATGTAGCCCAAGAACGTTTCCTTTGGCCCCAAAAGATGCTATCACGGAAAATATAACTCCGCTGGCCAAGTGATCTCTCTAGAATCTGCCTGACTTGAGAATTCACTTGGACTCCTGAAGATACCGAGGTCTACCCCTCTTTCTTGTAGTTGATTGTTGCATCTTCACCCACAATTACCGCAGTCTATATATAGCAAGAAAATTGTAGACCGCATTCCACAGATCAAGATCAAGTGAATACCTAAGGGGCACTACCCATTCCACCATCAGAGATTTTCTTTGCAAGTATTATTTAAGAAATCAAAAGGTCAATTACAACTCCCATGATACTCGTCAGCACTGTATCTTGAGAACGAGACAGATCATCCTCATCAATCCTCTCCACGCGAAATGCGTAGATACGAACACCGCGAGTTCACACTGGGCGACCTCGGCAAGAAA